AGAAGTGAAATATTAACAGCAGGGTGAAAGACAGCCGGGATTGCTTAACGAGGTTCATCTTCAGGCACAGCAGAGCTGGGCACATCCAAGGCACGGAATGGCAGAGGGGGACTGCACACCACAGACTGCAAAGGAAGCCCAAGCTGGTGAGGAAGTGTTTAAAGATTTCTTCTTGCTGATAGTAGGAGAAACTGAAGGCAAAAAGGCACCAGGAGGGATGAGAAGTTTCTCTGATTGTTACAGGTTGACTTGTGACCAGATGACAGGCTCTTAAATGCAGATTAGGTACTTGATATTGTTAGTGGTATTGATCTAAATACCTTCACAATTTTAAGTCTGTTATGGCTGGTGAATAGATGAGAGATGTGGGTTTGAAGGCTTCTGGCATATTTTCCTGGCTGTTCAAATGATTTGATACATCATTTTCTTGAATTACTTTGAAGTTTGGGAGAAGTCTGCAGGCAATGGAAACCACTCTTGATCTGTATAAATCAGTTAAGCACTGCTTTTTCTTGTGATCAAAGAATTGGAGAAAATAAGCCAGAAGAGACCTCCAGAGGTTATCACGTCCTTCCAGGGTCTGGTCATTAAGCCCAAAGTGTTGCTGCCACACATTCATCTAGTTTCTTAAAACCTTATCTCAGAAACAGAGAAAGAAGAGAGAAATACATATATGGTAAAAGGGCTATAAAATATGGTCAGTGCATATAAATTAAAAATAAGACTCATTATTAAAAGACAAGTGTGGCTGAGATGAAAATTAGGAAGGGATTGTACCATGAGATGAATGCAGGTAAAAATGAAGAGACTAGTTGAGTATAAACAGATTAAGGTGCACAGTACTGCAGCAGGGAGTGGTGAGGATGTGGGGATTGTAAAAGCAATGTGAAAATGCAGATTCTCTTTCTGAGGATTTGGGAACCAGAAAAAAAAAATAAATTATGAACTGAAGGTCATAGCAAAATGTATTAATGGGAACTTCTGGCTGTGCAAGGCATCTGGTAGCTGAATATAACATGTAAGCATGAATCATCCTACAGACTCTCCAGTTGCATAAGGGATAATTCAGAAAAGACCTCATCTATATGCCTGCTCTATATGCCTGCTCTGGTCTGACACAGGACCTGATATTTATGTAGTCCCTAACACACTCTTATATAACAGACATCATGGGTTGTCTGAACCCTGCAGGCCGAGACACACCATCTCTGTTCCAATGCTCATCTGTCCTCACTGAGAGGGAAATTGGGAAAAGGAGCTCCAAATATTCTTTACTGAAAAAAGTCAGCTATTTCTCTCATCTTATCCTCAACAAAAAAATTGATTATAGTTCATCTCTCTGGCTGTTTTTTTCTGTCAATGGAAAGCAATGGCATTTGGTATTTCTTCTTTCCCAAATTTCATAGTTTTCATTCCAGAGTTGTAAAATGTTTCTCCCATTTTGCAACACCATTTTGGGTTCATACCCGGTTGTCTCCCAGGCTTCTTCACCCTGGTTTTGGGTACAAACAAAAGCACTGGCTGTGCTGAAGTTTTCTTTGCTCATGGAAAAGCTGAGGACCTGCATGTTTCATGCTTTCCTAATGTGATGGAAAATCATTGATACTCTTACAGGGGATTTCCCAGTTGTCCACTATTATGAGCATTTCATATGGATCCTATTTCCTTGTGGGAGATCAGAGGCACTAGAGTTAGGATCTATCACATACAGAGCTGCTCTAGCTGTTACTCCACTTAGCAAAGAATAAAACAATCTGGTTTGAGAGCATTTTTTCCAATCTGAAATGGCTCTTTTGTAATCCTTATTCTCCTTTTGGTGCTTAGGAGGGATTATCTGATCAAGTGTCTCTTGTTATGGAAGAACACTCCTGGAGGAATAATCTGCTTTTTAAAGGCAGTGGTGATGTTTGTTCCACTTTTGCCCTTCACAAGGGAAGTGGCTCAATGTGATATTCAGCACTTGAAGGTAAATTTCATCAGGCTCTGATGATCTGAGCACATTTGAGATATCCAAATATTATTTAAGCAGTTTTTGTCTCATTTCACACATACTCTTGCTGGTTCATTTCAAGAGTGTTGCATACCTCATTGCAATTTGTTTTTTTAGTGAAAATAACAAAAAGGACACAAGTTTCCTGGCTTCTCTGAATGATTGTTTTCTGGTTTAAATAACAGCTTTTCATTTTCCTTCCTCTTTCTCCAATACTGGCAGCATTTCTAACACCTTTTCTTATTGCCTTTTATGTCCCCTTGCTAGTTGTAGTGCATTTTGTGCTTTGCAGGCACACTTCTACCACTCTGTTTGATCTGTTTGTCTATACCGGTCTTCAGAAATGCTACCTTATTTCCATTTGTGGTACAATTCCTTCCTGATTTTCAGTCCAGTCGCACAGGTCTCCTTCTATCAAGTATCATTCTGTATTTGTATCTGAGGTGCTTGCAAATTTGTTCTCTTAAACTTGTTTTTGCTGTTTGCTTCAAGTTACCGTTTATTGCCAGACATTTGAATTCCTTTTCTTCCTTTCTGTCTGAGAAGACCTTCTGGCAGCTAGTGGCCTAAACAGCTCTGCAGTGTATTAGACAAGTAGTATGTTAATGAATCATCCTACGACTCTCCAGTTGCATAAGGGATAATTCAGAAAAGAGGAAATCTTACAGAAAGCCACGCTTACCAGGTAAAGTTGTTTGGCACAAGATTTTCACAGAAACTCAGGAGGGCACCTCATCTATATGCCTGCTCTATATGCCTGCTCTGGTCTGACACAGGACCTGATATTTATGTAGTCCCTAACACACTCTTATATAACAGACATCATGGGTTGTCTGAACCCTGCAGGCCGAGACACACCATCTCTGTTCCAATGCTCATCTGTCCTCAATCCTACTGACTGATAGGGTTTTTCATGTTGGTATTCAAAAAAAATTATCATTTAGCTTATGTGAGGCACAGGGATGTATATACACAGAGGAAGTATAGCTGCAGGAGGCTGAAAATGTTAAGGCATCACACTGCAGCAGCATGGGAGCACTGTGCAAGGGATGGTGAAACCTTTCCTGCCTTCCTTTTTTATTATTCCTTTAGGAACTCTGTTGCTGTGTTTGCTTTGCTTGCCTGTGTATGGCAGAATACAGCAGGTTTCTACTGGGAGCTGTATAGAAATACCTGGGGTATGAGATGCCAGCAGAGGGCTCAGAAATATTTCTGCTGCCTCTAGGCACGGGGTCAGGCTTGCAGGACTCGAGTAGGTGCCAGCCTGGTGTGCAGGGACAGGACACTTGTGAACAAGACCTGTTCTGCCCCCAACACTGGGTCTGCTTTTGAGCACTCATGCCCATGGAAAGGGCTTGATAAACCTGAGCTCCCTGGAGGCTGCACCCAGGTGAATAGCAAGGCTGTGCATGTGTGCAGGTCACTGGGAGGGCTGAAGACAAGGAGCTGGTTTGTGGCAGTGCAGAGGAGGTACCAAACTTTTCTTTTGCTGCTGCTGTAGAGGAGAAAAGGAACAAAGAAGGGGTAGAACTTTCTGGCACCATCTGAAGTTTGGCCTCCAAGTCAGCTGCCCAGCTGATCTCGTGTTTAGATGACCAGTTAGTAGGAGTGCAACGGAATCTCTGGATATTTTCAGAGGAAGCAATGCCAGAGCACATGATGGATAGTAATTATACTTCCTCTGTGCAGTCCATCACATCTGTTTCTCTTGTGTAAGTGTTCTCCATGCCTTGTTAACAATAACTGAAACCAGATTAAAGATCTGTGGTGTGGCCAAAGGCCTCTTTCCTGGTTCATCAGCTGCAAACCTCGTTCTCCTGATAACCAAACACTATCAGCAACTCAGTACTTGCACTAAGGACAAGTTTATGGAGACTCCTTGTACCAGCTGTGGATTCTGGGTGTGGTCTATGCATTACTGATAAGAGAAGGGAGAAATATTTGGGAAAATTCCTTGAACATTTGTCTTTTAAAGAAGCCAAGTGTAAGAGGAAGAAGAAACCTCTGCACTGTGCTGAGGATACAGCAGACCAGCAAGCAGTGAGGATAGTTTATGGGAAGGTTGCGAGTTTTGCTCTGCAATTGCAACTGGCACTGGAAGAATGCAGATTAAGAGCTCCACTATTGCCATGGGAAGGGCATGGAAGGAGGAACAACAGTGTTCCTGCAGGGAGCTGAGCCCCTGTAGCTGCAGGGGGAATCAGGGACTCCCAGCAGAGATGGGCTGCATTTGTCACATATGGAGCCCCAAAGTGGTCTTCTGGATAATAGAAAGTAGAGAGAGGGGCTGGGGCTGCTTCTGGATGCTGGCTATGCCTGCTTGATTAAACTGTACCATGGGAAAAGGCAAGGTCATTCTAGGGAATTGGTGTGGGAATGAACCCTGGGTCACTTCACTCCTTCAGTAGCAAAGAAATGATTTAACACAGTGCAGGCATCTGTGACATCCAGTGTCCAAGGGTTTGGTGTGATGAACATTTTAGTAGTTATGTCTTAGAATGTGTGGCTTTCCAGTGAAATGAGATCCCTGCAGAGTAAACCTGTCATTACCACACTGGGAGGGAGATGCACGCTCTGCTCCTAAATCCACAGGCAGTAGGGTGTATCTGAGACCTGGGATTTTTATTCAGCTCACATCTGTGCAGCATCCAGCACCGTGCTGGGCTGGTGCACGTAAAATAGCTGGGGGCATGCCAAACAACAGGGAGGTCTGTGCCACAAAGTGCTGACAGCCCCAACCTGTGACTGATTTAGGCTGTGTTCCCTGACTCCTCTTGAACTCTGGAGCTGTCTTTCCTGGTAGCATCTCCCTCCCCTTTCTACCCTGGCTGCACAAATGTGCTCAATTAGGGTTAACTCAAACTGAATCAAACTTCGTGCCTGAGGTTGGAAATCTTCCCAGTCAACTCACCACAGCCACATAGCATGGTGGGAGACAAGGCGAGAGGGGAGATGAACGCTTTTCAGAGAAACGAATCCAAGGAAACTTTGTTCACTTTTATTTCTGCAGGAGATGATCCCCCCAAAGGAGATTTCCCTCTTCAGAAAAAATCTCCGGTAAGTGTTACTGCTGGTTTCCTTTGCTTTCCTTTCTGCTCAGCTTGTTTTAAACATTGCAAGATCTCTCTGTTCTCTCCTCTGTTGTGCTCTGGCTAGAGACAAACACCCTTTCTTGCAGAGGGTTGAAATAAGCCTTAACAACTCAAGGCAAAAATCCCTCCACTAACCTGATTAAGTTAAGAAAGTGCAGCTTAAAGGGAAAACATGAACTGTCTGAATTTTTGGGAAAAAGGGTAAGGGATTTATTGCCTTTTCCCTGAACACTACTTTCCTTGTGGGAAAAAACTTAGATCTCTGAAGTGGATGGGGCTGTTGTGCATAAGAGGGAGGGAGCTGAACTCTGTTTAGTTTGATGAAACCCACCAGGGAAGGGTACCCAGATGATGAAAAGCAGAAGGAAGGACAGGGATTGAGGACAGGCCACTGGTGTGTGTTACAGAACCCAAATGTAGTGCCAGAGCCTTGGGTTTACATCTTTGCATCTGATTTAAAACCTGATTCAGGTGAATGTATTGCTGCCTTGCAGCTTTGATGTTTGTGCAGATTTTCAGGCTAAGTCTTGTTGAGTGCTTGACCCCTAAAAACTGTTCACTGCATACGATTCAGGAAGAATTTGGCTTATATTGCAGCTGCTTTGACTTGCAGGATAATATGTAATACTTGGTCTTAAAACTCACAGTCATGTCATTAGCAAACCAACTATTTAACTCAAGTTTAATTAATGTGCAGATATTAACTATTGGATATCCAGAGCTCCTGGGAAATATTAATCTTCATCCTGTTTTGCCATTAGTCAGCAAGAAGGAAAGCTGAAAACAAACGTCTCCTGTAGTGGGTAGTTTAAATGAACTTTCTATTTTCCAAAGAGACAGTCTATCAACTTCCACAGTATCTTTAAGAGATCCACAATCCCACGGATCCCAGGCTTGCTGTGGCAGCTAAGCACTGCGGACTGTCTGTGTGTTCATGAATCCAGGCTTAACCTCTTTGCTTTTGCTGGGGCTGTCTGCTGAGCACGGTCCGTCCCCGCGAAAGCGAGCAAACTGCATCTGGCTCTCCACATGGATGAAAGCTTCCCACTTTTGGATGTCCAGGCAGGCCACAGGCAGGTCAGTGATACAGTGGAGAGAATACATGAGGGTTTCTGCATGTGCTGATGCCATCTCATGACACAGAAGCCAGATGGAAGTACCCCTGCTTGTAAGTCGTTGCTCTGTGTTTGTAAGCACTTACTCAGGGTTGTGGCTCAGGCACTTAGGAAGGTGTAGCTGGGAAGTCACTGCCCCCTGCTCTCCTTTCCCTTCTTGCTCGTCTGTAGGAGGTGCCCATTCCAGAAAAGGAGTGGCTGAAATGAGTCACTCTACCTTAAATCGGTGCAAATAAATCCACTGGGACTTGTGCACTGGGTGTGCAGGGGTGAGTTCAGGCAGCAGCGCTCCTGCCACCTGTCCACCTGGTTTGGACAGTCACTCTCTGCACCTCCACCAAATGTTATTAAATGCCATGAGTATGTATAGTAAGGTCTGTGAAGAAGAGAAAGAAAAAAAATCCCTGTTGTACAATTTTACTTCCAATTTCATAAAATGCCTCCCAGCAAAACATGAAACATAATCTGCCTCTTATGGATTTTCTTCTTTTATGAAAAGCTTGTTGGAGAAAAATATTCTGTGTGTGCATATGGTTGTGTGTTTGTGCATTTACAGCTTATATATGCCACCATTTTTAGGCTAGTCTAAAGAGGGAGGCCCCGGTGCAGTTTCCAAGGGAGCCCACTCTTTCTTACAAGCCATACTGCTGAGCACAATGGTTTCAGAGTAAATCATAAATGAAAATTATGATTTACTCTAAATTATGTATTTACTCTAGTAAAGCAACAAGGTTAAGGGTTTCTTATAAAAAGGCAGCCTTTTGGTGAGAAAAATATATACATATATATTATATATAAAAATGGACAAAAATATTTGTCTTTAGAGGATTAAGTAATGGAAAGTAGGGGGGAGGTAGGAGTTGTGGAGTTTTGATTTTCTGTCTGTTTTGTTGCTTTTTCGTAATGTCGAGGAAGACAGTGTCATTAAGCTATACTCTTCTGAACTTGATGCCATTGCTTTGGGAATCCAAATAAGCTTAGGTCTCTTGGTGGTAAAATAAACCTGAATAAACACATCTATTTTGGTACTGTATTTGCATTTGGGACTCTGGGAAGAAATACAGGAGTTCATTATTTCTGACATGAGGCACAGAAATGCATGTGAAGAGTTCATCTCACTTCACTGGCCCACACCATGGCTGTTTTAATCTATAAGTATAGTTGTATCTGTTAATATCACACTCCCCCCAGATTCCTCACCAAATCCATGGCCAGCCCCTCTCCTGCTAATTGGCAGAGGCTGGGCAGTGCTGTGCAAACCTGCTTTCCTGTTGCGAGGCAGTGGAGCCACTAAGCAGCTGGAATCTGAAAGCTGCTTAGCTCTACCCACGGTGGGGTAGCAAGAGGGACAGAGGCCCACACAGGGTCGTGCCAAGACTCATCTGTTTAATGCCTTGTATTTCACTTGGAAAGTGCTGATGTTAGCTGCAGTAAGTCAGGCTCAGAGAAAGAGTGGCCATACTTAGACAGGTTTGACAATCCCATCACTGGCTTTTTTTTTAAAGTTCTGATTAATAAATTGAATGATCCATAGCTGTGCCAGCAATCTTGGAATATGAAATGGATGCCATGCCTGAGGGAGTGTCAGACAGAGAGCTGTTGCTCTGATTCAGCGAGTGGTGCACAGCTCAGCACAAGTGAGGAGAAGAGATTGAGAGAGGTAGCAACTTTACACACAGAAGCAGACAGCAGATCCCTGAGGTCTCCCAGTTTCTGAGGCAAGGTTGGTACTAGAAGAGGAAGCAGTTTTGGGGTAAGGTGGTGGCTTTATATGGAGTGCAGAAGAAAAGGAATCCAAAGGTGTTTTTTGTTATCAGTGACGTTTTAGCATTGCAGTCAAGAGTTGGTAGAACTTCCAGTGGAGCTCCTGGAGCTACAAGCATGGTGGGCTGCTGACTGCCCACAAATCCCCGTGGCAGTCCTTACTGGGCTCATGTCAGCCAGGCTGATTCTCTGAGGAGCCTTAATCAAAGCAAGAGTACTGTGGGGTCCACTCTCTCCTTTGAGTCCAGCTCACAGCCCAGTCAAGCAGCTGTGGGCACTTGGTTTTTGGACTGGACTCCTCTCCACCACCCAGACACTGTGGGAATATGTTGCTGGGGTGAAGGCTTTGACAGTTGATATGTTCTTGTTTGTCTCCCACAGAAACTCTGTGGCTCCAACTACCCCCTGAGCATTGCCTTCATTGTGGTGAACGAGTTCTGTGAGCGCTTCTCCTACTATGGCATGCGAGGTATGTGGCCTGTGACTTTCCAGTCCTGAGGTCTTTACACAAACTGGATTGATGTTTCTGAGCTATTCTGGGTGTAGTATCAGCTGTCTTTCAAAGTTAATTGATATTTTGGAATGCACGTATGAACAGTATATCCTAACGTTGCTGTATCTAAGATGAGAAGAAGTTGGGACTAGAGGGCTCCAAATGTACCTTCCAATCTAAATTATTATACAATTCTCTATATCAAACCTGGTTTTCTACTGTGTGATGTCTTTCATAGTTGATGTGCAATCAGTGTGCTTGGGGATTGAATCTTACAGGCACCTAATCTGCAAATAGAAAAAGTGCATAAACAGAACTACAGGTTAGGGCAAGATAAGCTAGAAAATACATTTTTCAGCTAAACATAAATGTTTATGAGCAAAGGATGTCAGATACTCATATATCTCATTTTAGCTTCTCCTGTGTCAGAGATGATGAGGAACAGGTCTGGAAGCACAAATCTTTCCACAGCACTGCTCAGTTGCTAGACAAATCAGTAGTTTTCTTGCCATCATGATCCTGCTTACCTGCAGATATACACATTAATTATCTGATATGATTTTTTTGTTTGTTTTTTTTTCCTTTTAGCTGTTCTGACACTCTATTTCTTAAGCTTCTTCCACTGGGATGAGAATCTCTCCACTGCTGTGTACCATGCCTTTTCTGCGTTGTGTTATTTCACACCTGTCATCGGAGCCATCATGGCAGACTCGTGGCTGGGCAAATACAAGTAAGTGAAGACCTCTCTCTAATTCAGTCAGCATGCATCGACACCGTGCAGCCTGTGCAAGGACAGTGCTGTGTGTGCTCCCAGTTTTGAGCTAGCTCAGACTGCAGCAAAGACACACTTGTGAAGGTCAGCTCCTCTCTTTTAACAGAGCTGATCTGTTTGCTCATGTTGTTCTGTGCTTGTCTAACACCCAAAGGCCAACAGGCAATTGAAATTGGGACAAATTAAATGTTACAATAACCCTTTTCCTCTACTGTCCTTCCCTACCTGACTTCAGGAAGCTGAGGCGTAGGGCAATTAACCTTCAGTTTGCTAAGGTCTGCTTCTGAGAAGGATTCAAAGATAGTGAGGAAGCAATGTCATCATGTAGATCTCAGATTCAGATGAAATGTCACTAACTGTAATGTGCTTACTTACACTTCTCACAGCATAGGTAATGTATCAGCACACCCATTTTTATGCCTGAGAGACCTGTGTTCTCTCAAATAATCTCCATCAGCACATAACCAGGTAGACTCTTCCTGAGTAAGAGTCCTTAGGCAGTCTTCCCTTCTGATGATAAGCTGCCCCAGAGTGGTGATGAGCAGCTGCATATAGGACTTTCTTTGCTTGGCACTGGTTTTTTTCATTGTCTGAGAAATCTTGGCTGTCAGGGGGATGATGTGCAGCTGAACTTTTCTCTCTAAGACTAAGCCTATCTGGCAGAAGTGTCTCTATAGGAAATAAACAGCTGCCATATGCCTATCCAGAAGAAAGTTCTTAAGGAGCTGTCAGTGTCCTTTTTTTTCTGTGCTCAGTTTTAGTCATTTTCTTGTCCATTTGAATGAAAAAGAAAAAAAACAGTGGGGCTTTATTAAATTTATTATTTAAGGTCCCATAGCAATGTTCATTAGTTTTGAGGATGTTTATCTTGCAGCGCGATGTTGTGAGAAGGTAAATCCTTATACAGATGCTCCTATGTTAGTCAAGACACTTTCCTTGGAGTAATCCCTATAATTTAATGGGAAGTGGCTTTTACTGTAGTAGCTGGACCTTGGCCAATATAACAGATTAGAGGGGTTTTTATCAATGATCTGATGTGGTGCTAAATTAGCTGTTGCAGCCAGGGTTTGAATGCATCAGGGACCTCTTCCATGCTCAAAGCTCATAGGACTTCTTCTAGTGTTTCTGTCTTTACAAGTCCTTTGATTCACTTCTGTATGTGTCTTCAGCACAAGAATACACAGATTTCTCTTAATCTAGAGAGTGGTGAAGGGATAGAATACACTCAAGAGTCTGATCATCCTGCTGGTATTTCTTCTTCTCCCTCACCAATGCATAGGAGGCAGATAGATGAGCTCAGTCTTTCAGAGATACTTGGGACCCAAAACAGACTTACAGCGAGGAAACCACTCTCCTCATTCTTGTTTGTTAGGTGGGTTAGGTGGATTGAATGTGTGCAACAGTCTCTCGACATCCCTTCCAGTCAAGGGATTCACTTATGCACATCCTACAAAATGCCATTTATTAGTAATCTGGAAACTGAGTTGGGCCTGAACAGTGCTCTTCTCTTTGCAGTCTTCCATGCGTGACAAGACTGGAACACTTTTCATTTATTCTGCTCAATAATGTCTAAAAATAAAGCAGGGGCTATCCCTTCTTAATCTGAACCTATTTGCATATCTATTCCTTCTAGTGCACTCAGTGTTGAAACAAAGGAATTACAGCTGCCCACTGTACCACTGGTACCTTATGTGCCAGCCAAGTAGAGCTGCCATATCAGGGCCCATGGGCACCCTCTGTTTTCAGCTTGTACCTCACCCAACACCTTCAGTCACTGCTGTTTGCTTTCCTCACAGGACGATCATCTACCTCTCCATTGTGTATGTTGTTGGCCATCTGATAAAGTCAGTCGGTGCCATTCCATCCCTGGGCAACCAGGCAGTTCATGTGTAAGTAGCCCTTGAAGCCACAGTGCTGTAGCAGGCTGTGATGGTAGTTAGTTTACCCAAGTCTGTAATTTGTTTTATCTCCATCAGACCAGCATTTTGAGGGCTGTGCATGGATTACTTTCATCAGGGAAGGGTTAGGAATGTCTGAGTAAGAGCAGAAGGGTGGATCTAGTAAGTGAACATGCCAGATGGAGTTAGAAATCACCACACAGACTCTAACCCCTTTGGCACAGGCATTGAGGATCACCCCTCTCTGCTCTACCATGCTACTGGTTTGATCTCCTGTATCCAGCTGCCTGCACTGCTCCTTCCTGGAGCCTGCTCATTTCATCAGCACAGCTGCCCAGCTCAGCAAGGTTCCCCTATGTGCATGGGAACACAAAACTGAAATACATTTTCTGATGACAGGAGAAGGGTCTGTCTCTTCCACAGGATACAACCCTCTAGATTCTGAACTGATTGGCTTGTCACAGTGGTGTCTCTGAAACCACCAAACCAGTTTTGTCTGTGTAGTCATGGCTCAAAAAATATGCACATGCAGGCAGGAGCACATGTTGTTTACAGAACAATTTTCTTTTGTCCCAGACCTGGTCAGTCCTGATACTCTTGTTCCCTAGGGACATAATCTGTCAGGCCAACAATGGCATTTTGAAAACCACTGGGAAATAGAAAGCAAACAAGAATGAGCCTAATTCAAACAGTTTGTCTGCTCTTACCCAGGCTACAAAAAGTACTCCCCTTTTTCTTTTTTTTTCTTCTTCTCAATTGATCTCTGACAGCTTTTGTTGTCATATAAGTAAAAATAATTCCACAGATCTTTGATCTTCCATATGTCCACTGGACCTCAGAATAACAAGAAACTGACAAAACCAGTTTGGTTAATTGACTGGTATGGAATGCAGAAATTAGGATAATTAATTTGTTTTTCAAATTATTAGGATTAATTTGTTTTTCAAATTATTAGGATATTTAATTTGTTTGTTTATCTAACTCATCATCATTATCCATGTGCAAAAGACAACATTATCAGAGGAATCATGGTTGGGTGACACTAAAATACTCTCATAAGCTCTGGAAAGGTTTTGCAATGGTGATATTTTTGTTCTTGCATGAAGGGTCCTGTCTATGGTTGGTCTGTTTTTGATCGCCCTTGGAACGGGAGGTATCAAGCCCTGTGTCTCTGCATTTGGTGGGGACCAGTTTGAAGAGGAACATGTAAGACTTCTTTTCTTTCCTAAAGTCTGCAGTGTCTGCTTACTTTGTGAGGATGTTTATGTGATGAAAATCCTGTTGTGCTAGAATAAGGGCCACTTTGCTGGAAAAGACATAGTAAGACACGAGGTAGGATGGTTTGCATAAGACTTGAGAGAATCTAGATGCTTCAGGAAGGCAAAATGTCAGCAGAACAGGATTGGTACTGGAAAGGATAGGTCATAATTGCATCAAATCATCTAAATGTTAATTTGACATCAGAGTAGTTGAAAAATTCTGTCTTGCATATCACAGAGCTGTATATATCACGGATCAGCTTAACAGGGGTGATTATAATGCACTGCAGTAGAATATGGCAAATGAAAGAAAAGACTATCACCAGTCTATGCCTCTGTGGGATTTTTTTCCTCAAATCAGTCATAGTCTGTGTCTCAGATGTTGTTCAAAAAAAACTGTAGGAAATTCTAGTCTTTTGCAAGTAATACCAGAATGGTTTTGGAATATTCCAGAATGGAAAGTTCTGAAGAGTGGAGAAAATGTTTCTGTTTAGCTGTGTTTGTGCTGTGTATCCTGAGAATTGTAGTCCAGGTGCTTTGTGTCCTCATTCTCTGTCATGAGTGCTTAGCCCCTCATCTGCACTAATCTCAAACTCCCATTATTCGGAACAGGGCTAAACCAGGGATAAGGTAGTGCTTAAGGAAGCAAAGCAGGTCAGGAAGTGCTAATCCTCAGGCAAAATGCTAAATTTTTCAATTGACTTGAGGTTAAATAGATTTATGTTGACCTAACCCACAAATATAAATTTCTATTTTCTCAATGAAAAGTATTCAAATCACCAAATTGTGTGCAGGGCATTAAGTCCTCAAATATGTAGAAGGCTGCTGCTACAAAAAAGAAAATAAGTGTTGGGGTCTGTGGTGAGTAGGCTTAAACTCAAGGAGGATTATTTAGGACTGAGAGTGTGAAAATTTTTTCTAGAAATAGATCTAGAGAAATACTGGGAAATACTAGGGCCTTTGGGAGATGGAAATTCCCATCAATGGAGGCATTAAAGAAGGACATTAGACTAAAAGTGTGTCAGGAAAAGCACTGGTAAATTTGGATAAGAGCTGGCCCCTTGGACAAGGAGCCCAGTAGAGCAGTTTTCTCCTTGTCTTTTGCAATACCCCAGTATGAAGTCAACATGTAATGAAATAATATAGATTAAATAAAACATTTTGGAAAGAGTTGTGCTTTTTGCACATGAACCGAGTGATGCTGAAGTGATGAAGCTTATGATTACTAAGAAGTAACAAAACATGGGATGGTCTGTGGTCACTTGTCCAAAGCAGATCCTCCTGCAGGCATGTCTGCATGCTGTCAGTTGCACATGGTGCTTTAGGGGATGTGGCAGAAAGGGAATCAGCAATGCTCTGGTGGTCACCAGCCTCCCCAGCTGGCACTACTCTGACCAAAAGCAGGCTGGCAGCACAGCACACGTGCTTTGGGATAGCTGCATGCATCCCAGTACACAGGCATCCTGGCTTGCTGCACCAAGAGTTGTCCCAAAAGAATTCTAAGAGGTCCAACAGCAGCATTTATACAAGTGCTACTTTGATGAATACTAATGATTAATAGTGTTTATCCAGCATCTTTCAATTACCACCTAATTACAGTATGATAATATGTAACACTTATCTTCAGAGTGTTTTATAGACTTCAGCTAATGAATCTCAGCACCCCTCTCAGGCACATACATATTATTATTCCAACTTTACAACTACAGCTGCATCACAGAGAGAAAACCTGAACTGCCTGTGGTTGTGTGGGCCTGTATCCATCCTCCAGCATTTAGACTACATCTCTCCAACAAATTTATCAAATACAAAGGCTCAAACACTCACCTGTGTGCTACCTTCAAGAAAAACTAATTTAGAGAAAGAAAACTGTAAAAAGCATTCTGATAAGAACAATGTGTTCTGCTCTATTTGTTCTTTTTCAAACATTCTTTTCAAAATAGAAAGTTTTCTATTTTACCATTTTAAAATGACTTGGCCTTTCAGAGGAAACAAATGTTTTATGCTATGTGATAGGAAGTTTAAGTCATCAGAATTGGAATGCGAAGTTTTGATTTTGTAAGGAATACAAGGTTTGAGGCCAAACAGAATATTTCTTTCCTCTGGAGTGGTGTTTGAGGAGTCTTATGTTTTATTTTCTTCCACTCCAGGTAGGCTGAAATAAGTTTTAAAAATTCACTATGAAATGAAGCATTTGATTCCCCCTTAATTTTCAGGACACCAATAAACTTCATCTGAGTCCTTAAGTGCACAGGCTTATTTGTTTTGTCTGAAAACTTGGGATGAAGTAGTTCTGTGTATAAATAACTAAATTACCCCTGCTATTCCTAGAGACAAGTTTTATGTTTTGAGGTAAATGCACAACATCAATCTGATTCTCTTTTAAGTACTTCAGGAGCATAATAGTCTTGGATCTGCCACTTTGAGAACAGTACTACTACAGACAGTGATGGGGACTGATTTGGTGGGAGGTCAGATAGGGAAAACAGATTTATCTGCAGGAGATTTCCAAATGCCTTTGTCTATGGGATTAGAAGCCCAAGTTAAAAATGCCTGAACAAAATTATATTTACAATATGTTACATGAATATGAAGCTGCTGAACATATTAGTTAGGGACCAAAGCTGCTTTCAAACAGTGCAGTATGGTGTTTAAGGTGCTAAATAGCTTTCCTTTGTTTCTTTATTTTCTGGTTGCCAAGGAGATCAGGATTATCAAGTACAGTACCTTTTCTTGAATTAGCTAATCCAAATCATGTTGTTAATGTATGTCTGCTCTAAAGATTAAGACAACAGGGAGGAAATTCTTTATTCCAATCAGTATAATTTACAAGCTTCTAGGTCATTATTTTTGTAAATATTTCAGCTTTTCTGTGACCATTTTTATTTTCATCACTAAAATCTGAAAATATGTGAAATAAGGTGCTCCAAATTCTTTATGCATCACCATTCTCTTCTCTTACTACCATGTTCTTTTTGGTAATTGTTGCTCTAGACTTTATCGTGTCAAGAGTTGCATGCTTGAGTTTATCACAGCTCTCAGAAATTCTGATTTCCTCACATATGAAGGGTTAGAGACATGCCATGACAATTTGGCTAGAAGAGGAGGGTTCTACTGCACCACCTCGACAAGTCATGGGAGGGCTATCCAGGAGTGGGGAAGATTGCTGAAGCTGCTCATTTCTCTAGTTTTCTCTATGATGACAAATAACTAGTCACAAAGGTAGAATGGAAAAGAAAATATAATTTTACTAGTTTAATAGTAGAAAGTTCTGGGTTATCAAAACCACCAGCAAGGAAAGGAATATAACAGGTAGTAAGACCTACTGCTGTTCTCTATTAACCATGAGAACATGCCATTGAGATGATTTTTATAAGGCTTTCAAATCCTTTAGGCTAGGATACATAATTTAAGAGGAATGTATGGGTCAGCCCTGAACACTAGGAAATAAAATTGTGTAAAATCCAGAAGCTCAGTTGATGGGGTCTTCCTAACTGTGCTGGGTCACGGCAGAAAGCCCTTAATCCAAGTAAGGAGACCCCCAGACTCCTTGGTGGGTGGCAGTGGGAGGTGATGGGGCTCTCACCCTGACCTTCTCAGTACCCACTTCACAAGGGGATGTAAAGAGAAGCCCTCTCATACTCTCCCACCTCCTCCTCTTCCCTGCAGTAATCCCCTGTGATAAGAGGCTTCTTGCCATATGAAGAAGCAATATTTCCTGTTGGCTGCACCATTAGTTACAGGAAGTTTTGCTACATTTTTGGAGCTCAGGATTCATTACTTTACAGCTGTCCTCTTTTAGCTGCCTGCAATTCTTCATGCTTTCTCCAGTTTTCTAGCCTAGTGAATATTGTTGTCTCAGGGAGCAGACAGAAGCAGGACACGTTAGAAGAAAAGGAGACAGAACAACATTCCCTGAGGAGTTTTCTAGCACTCAGCTAAGTTAAAGCTTTGCATTCAAATGATGCTCAGGTCGTAGAGATGAGGCTCAAGGTGTCCTAAGAAGCTCTCTGTCGGGCACCCTGCAATGTCTGATGCAATTTCCCCCTCTGCGTTTATCAGCTCAGGTGTCCCAGAGCTGCTGATACACATGAGCACGGGGTGGGTCAGGTAGCCTGCTTTTGTTTCCCCTCTCTGCTGGTCCACCCAGGCACAGGGAGGAGGTTGACACTGTATACAGTGCACACATGGGAGGGACATACATGCACACGTGTGACTGTGCATGTATGTCCCTCCCACAAGCAAGGAGAGACTGCAAACACACACATTACTCCTGCACAGTGGACCAAACTCTGCGTCAAATTCTTGATTCCTTCCAAATTATGAAATATGCAGAAAGAAAGAAGATCAGCAGGAATCCTTTGATTCTATAAACTACAATATGTTACAACTTAGGTTAAATTCAAAACTCTTTCTCTTAGAGTTCATCCCTCCATCAGGCTTTTTAATTTGCTCCCCTAGATTTAATTTACCCTATTAGTTTGAGGTTTATTGGGCTCACCTTGATGGTCTCCTCTTTGATGGATACTTTTCAATTGCTGGCACTTTTTCATCTATGCTGTGATTACCAGTTCCTTAAAATATACAGGTTTCTTTTTCTATTTCCACACAGGAGAGGAGGGGAGAGAAAAAAGCTCAGACATGGAAAGAAATTATGAGCTTGTCAAACCATGCCAAATTGGATTGAATTAGGTGACAAAGGATCTGAATCATGCTACTTGTTCTGAATAAGTAAATGCTTTCCCCTCCTTCCAGTCTCACAACACTCTCAAAGCTGCAGCTTTTCCTCTGAAATGCCAAAAAGCCCCAAAGCACTTCTCGAGTAACGTGAGCTGATTTGTGTGAGCATTTACCATCACCTGAACACGAGCTTGTTTGCTTAACATTTTATGCTCTTTGTGTCAATATTTACCAAGCCTTCCTAACGAGAGAATTGATAGTGTTCAATTTGCAAGCCCAATGCTGTGTATTAGCCATGACATTGACATTGTCTCTCTTGTTTTAGACCTCAGAGAGAAGCAAGTTTTTTTCCATCTTCTATTTATCCATTAATGCTGGAAGTTTGATCTCCACGTTTGTAACTCCTGTATTAAGAGGTCAGTGTGGGTTTAGAATAAAACAATAAATTAGCTGCCCTCTAACTACTCTACTGTGCATAGTTAGACTCTTATGACAACAGAATGGCAGAAATTATATTATCTGTGGAGTGGTCAGTGTATTGCATTTACACCTTGTTAATCCTCCTGTAGCAGCATAACAGATTTATGATACCAGCAGACAATTCACAGAAATTATATTCCTGGTTGTATTTCAAAGCCAGTCCGAACTACAGAATTAAAACACGGAAGGTGGAAGGACCTATATGGTCATCTATTCTCCACTGCCAGTGAAGGACTTGGCTTCAGGTAAACTGTGGATGGGAAATGAGCTCTCCTGTGTAGTATTATGGCTGAAAAACTTAGCAGGGCTGGTTTTAAAGTCCTACCTTCTCCCTCCCATGGGTGCTGCTGACTTCTGGAGGGCTCTGTCCTGGCACTGAGGCTTGTCTGCGTGGATCTGCTTGCAAGTTTGCTGCCCTGAGCAACTAGCCTTGAAGACAAAGCACAGGCCTATGCCCCATTTAAGACCTACTTTATATTCCAGCCTGCTTGCAAAACCCTTTTTAGTTCCTGAGCCTTGCTGCACTTACTTCATTGTATTGCAGCATTTTGAAGCCAAAGGGATTGGCACACTCTAAATACGGGCACAGAGGCAGAGCAGCAGGCCATAGGTGATGGGGACAGGGACAAGGTAGTCTTCACATTTAGTTGCCTTTTTTTAAATTCCATTCCATGGCTTCCAGAAGGCTCTGTTTGTTTGGAGTGTCATTTTAACAGGCTCTTGTCTCATTTTACACCCTGCACAGGGACGGAGACAAATGCTGTATCTCTTACTCGTTCATTCTCTGGTGTCTTCAGGTCAGCATTCAGTTGGGAAGGACTTTTGCTTAAAGTAGTCAATGGGCAGATGAAAATCCAGTCTCTTCAAGCATCAAAACATGTGCCAGTATAAACTAGTTGCAACATGGAACTGGAGAGGATGGGGAAAGAGTAATATTCTTGCTAAGTATGAAATCTTTCCTTGGAAGAGCAGGAAATGCAATTTGTAGACATTTGGTATAAATACAAAATATATACTTTTAGGCAGAGAAGTCCAACTCATTTAGCATGTTAAAAGTTCAGTGTGCCCAGAGAGCCCATGCTCTCAGCTTTGTAGGATTTTAGCTAATTTTCTGAAAATAAGTAAATAAATGCTATGCATGCACACAGCTGTGCAGCTGTGATTTTCCAGCTACAACAAACAGGAGCAGCTGAGGGCTTCATGGGCTGGTCTCCTGTTAACTCTGTTGGCTTACTTAGCCATCTTGTCATTGTCCATGTAAGAATGCAGTGATGTCTAGCCCCTGGCATTCAAACACACAGCCCACTGCTGGTTTGCTGTTTGCAGCCAGAGCACGGTGCAAGAACTGACCTGGACCAAGAGGTGCAGGTTTCAGTGACCCAGAGCTCAGATTGATGCAACCCATGTTGTAACACATCTGGGTTCCTAATGGGTTGCTGCAAGACCTGACATTTGAAGAAGGCTGCCCCTAGGGAGATTGGTGGTGGTGGGAAAGGGAACTGGAGTTCGAGGGCTTATCCTGGGCTCCTACTTATACAGTGCAGGCATTGGCTTTCACTTTGTCCACTGTAGGTCGCTATGAAAACAGATTCAGGTTTTTCACTCAAGACTGATGCAGCACAGTACTGGTTATTTAGATCTAGTCAAATACAGAATGGCTTCAGGTTATTTTAAATGTTGTGCTTTTTTTCCCCAATTACAGTTCCTAGTACTTCTTTATACCTATTTGTCTGCCCCCTCCCTTCTACTGTTTGCATCAATATCCCATTATCAGCTGCTTTTGCTGGCAGACACTAACCCTGCTTCCAAATCGTCTTCATCAAGGGAGGACAAGTGTTTCAAGGAGATTCAATTCACAGTGTCAAGCACTAGCAAAGAAGATTTAAAACCAGGGGAAGTGACTGATTTAGGGAATCAAATCAAAAGCCCCAGTAACGTAAGTCTAGATGTAATGAGCTGCTTTTATTTCTGACTTCTTTTTTAGGGGATGTGAAATGTTTTGGAGAGGATTGTTATGCACTGGCTTTTGGTGTCCCAGCAGCACTGATGGTGTTGGCACTTGGTGAGTGGAAATAGTGGTAATAGGAGTTACCAGTTTTGAGTCCATGGATAGATGAGAAAATGCACAAATTCACTAAGTCTGGATGGATACTGTGATGGGAGATGAAAGGGTTCAAGGTCACCTAACAATTCCCCAGTTCAGAACAGCAATAAATATCAGCAGTTGATTGATGGTGGGCTGAGCATGGTTTTACTACAATCTTTTGTTGTGATATTGTTAAGGGGGTGGTCTCCTGGATGCTTCACACTATAATTGCTTTGCTCTAATGCAAAGGAAGGCACCAAAATTATTCTCCTGATGGCTTGCAGCTTTGCCTATGCGCAGGCATGACCTTTGAACTGCAATCTGAGCAGTCCTTAGAGATCCCCAGCTTATAGAAGAGAAGCTTAACATGGCACTTCTAACCTTTCCATGGGCTTCCTGCAGCTCAGGGCCATCTTCAATGGCTCAGACTTCTGCTGCTGAATCTGTGTGCTGCAGAAGGAGCTAGATGAGATGTTAGTTTGTTCTGAACTGTCTTACTTTACTTGGCTGAAGTAATTCCCACAATTGCAGTGACAGCTTATTATTATGTTGCAATAAAAAATCCTTATTATCCAAGTGTCAGGAGACAGCCACAGTCCCTGTGCTTCTTAATGCTTGCATCTTAGCCCCATTAATGTACTTGTCAAGATTTCTTCTTCAACCTTTATGAAACATTCAACAATCTCTCCATTTTCACTGTTACTCCTTGGTAGCCAGTACAGAGGACATCCCATCAGCTTTAGTTTCACAGCTGCAAGCTGCTGAGAAGTTCTTTATTATACTGCATGTGTGAGCTTTTGACACAGCATAGGGTGACATCTCATTCAGCTTGTTACCTTCACTGAGAGACCAAGCAGTTGTGTGATTTCACTGCAGCATCTGGGATTTTGAAAAGTCCCCCAGAGAATGTGAATGCTGCTGTCTCCACTCAAATTTCCATCAGGGAGAAGAATCAGGAAACTGAAGAAATTTCATCAGGTCACAGCTAAGGTTGCAGCAATTATTTCAAAAAAGTGCATGGTCACGGGCCTGAGAAGGTTCTGTTTTCCCCTGTGGCCTGTTCCTATCAGTTTAGGGCCACCCTGTGTGCACCATGCTGTGATGAATGTTTCTAATAGAGCAGTAGTTGCCCAGGGGAAAATGAACGTGTAAATATTGCAGTTTCAGTGAGGGCATCAGTGGAAATGTGTTTTTAGCTAGTGTCCTGCTGCCAGATTCCACATCTTGCCTGGCAAAGCAGCGCTCTGTTCTTTTGTAACATGCTAAAATGCTGTGGGAAGTGATATATTTGACTATGTGAGTAGCATGAAGAACTGGAGAAAATACCCTTTTGGCCCTGACTGGCCCTCTCCCTGTGTTGATGGAAAGCAAGGATAGATTTAGAGGCAGATTTGGAGTGAGATTTTCTGGGCTGCTACTGTTCCTGAAGGATGGGGTAGATTGATACCATTTAATTCCAAATTCTAAACCTAATGCAGGAACTTCAGTTCCCAGAGGAGTCAATGGCATCATCAAAACATGTTTCAGCAAACCTAATGGATAACGTTTTTAAAAGCACCAACACATCTTCACAGGGAGATGCTAAAAAATAGGTAGTATAGCTACCCTCTCTGGGTGAATTTGCACAAATGCAAAGGATTAGGCTACTCACCTAAACTGACTTCAGAGGTCTCTCAAGTTCTGCAAGTCAAACCTGGATGCTAAAGGTCTTCATAGTTAGATGAAAGCAAAAGTGAGTTCCCTGCAGTGTCTCAGGCCTCCTGTGTTAGGATGGAAGTACCTGCTATTCTCCACTGCCTGTGGACTGACCCAGACAATTGGGTTAGTTTTAAAAGTTCAGGTTAGTTTATTATATGGATTTCATGCTTAGTTTTAAGGTGCTTCTCCCTACTAATCTCTTTGGAATTCCAATGTCCTCAAAGACTCTCATAGAGCAGGATAAATGATACACAATCAGGTAACTCCACCTCTGACAGGATTTTGAAGTCTCATTCTTTGTGCTTTGGGGGAGAAAACCAAGATAAAACAGTATCTTAAATTGTATATCCCCTTGTGTAAACCATAAATTGAGGTAATTTCTGTTAACATCTCTGTGTGAGGCAGGGATCTTTGGGCAGTTTCCATTGAAATGTGTGTGAGATGCAAGTGCACAGAGCCTGTGTTGTATCTGGTTTAATCCTCACAGGTTTCCCATGGGTGAGGGTTGACTTCCAACATCAGGTGCAGCAGTTCAACGTGGATTGTACTATAAGTTTAGTCTACAAAAAACATAACAAAGTGAATTTTCAAAGTTTTGATTCCCAGAGTGAATCAGATGTGGAGGTGCCAGAGCAGATATTAGGACAGTGGTGACTTTCTAGGGATCACACTGCCTCTTGTAGGATGTTGCATTTTCTTCCACCTGCAGGCATTAAAGAACTCCTTTATATCTGTTTAGTTAGAAGGGCGATCCTGTGTGCCCCAAGGGCAGAGCATTTCTGTTGAATACAGGGGTGGGGGTTCCTTCCCAGAAGCCAGTGCAGGATTGAGTTTCAGCCATGTGAATCCCCATTTGGATAATAATATTTTTTTCAGTTGTGTTCATTGCTGGAAGTGGACTATACAGAAAAACACCACCACAAGGAAATGTCTTGCTGGAAGTGTGCAAATGCATCGGTGTAAGTGTGTGTAATTTTTTTTTCATGTGTGAGTCAGCGATTGCAGTCCAAAAAGGTGCAAAGGGAAAGGGGAGGTGACTTTTGGAGTTCTTCTCAATGCTGCTTTGGGATGTTTTGCTGACGAGCTGTAAGGAATTAGAAACACATTTAGGTCCTAGTTTATTTCTTCAGCATTTCAATTGTTTTCCCTTAGCTCCATGAACTGTTCAGTTGATGTCCACGTAGTAGAACCACATGTGGCAGATGCTGGTGGAAACTGAACTGAAAGCAAAATTCAGAAACTCAGAGAGTATCAGATATAGGACTCCATTTTTTTTTCAGTTGAATAATTTTTCTGAACTTTATCAGTTCAGCAGACAGTAATAGCACACATTCACATTATGGACATTCAGCATGTTCATGTAAATGCAAGAGACACTTGCTGAAGTTGCATTAGAGCCTTATAAATTGTTTTTCATGGTGTGTGAGCTGAATACAGTATGTGAAAAATACTCTCTTATTATTAGGTGGATAATGATGTTTCTATTTCAGGAAGCTGTCGCTAACAGCAGATGTTTTCTCTTTATCTAGGTCAATTCTAGTGCCAAATTTACCTTGGGGAAACAGGCGGGATCTTAAAGACAGGATTTCTAAGTGAAGTCTGCCACTTTTTTTGCCAGTGTGGCTCAGTATGTTCAGTGACTGGAGCACACAGCATAAACAGGCCAGGAGCTGGACTTCAATGACCTTTGTGGGTCCCTTCCAGCTCAGGCTATTCTAAGATTCAGTGATTCTATGATTCATTCCTCCATCATACCTTTAATCAACCCGTATCATAGAAACTTCCCTGCGGACAATTCATCATAAAGCCTCCAATCTGAGATTTTAGAGGTATCCAGCAACCCACCCCCCTCAATGTTCTGGCACTACTTACATTTGGAGATGGGGAAAGTAGCCTTGAGTTGGGAATGTGACAAGGGCAGGTACAGCATGAGTGAGTTACTCGCCCGTTTTTCTCTCTAGTTTGCTATTAAAAACCGGCTGAAAAACCGCTCCCGTGAGATTCCAAAGAGAGATCACTGGCTGGACTGGGCTTCAGAAAAATACTCAGTAAGTGATGCTCTGCTTGGTAGGTTTGGAGTGGGAAGGGGGAGTCTGGCAGACAGACAGGGAAGACAGTAAGACTGGTCTGGCTACATCATTCCTCACATGCATTTTCCTGTCCCTTCCCACATCTGTACTCTCCTGACCCTTAATGGACAGTTTAGGTGCTGCACTGAAATGTAGAAATGCAAACATATCCAGTGTCTCAAGGAAGTGCAATGAAGAACTGCCATGCAGAAAGAAATAGGAGTTATGCTTTGTGGCTTGAATCACCTCTTGGCTTTACACCCCTACCTTACCTTTTTGCTTGTTCCCTTTTAGAAACAGCTGATCGCGGAGGTTAAAATGGTGACTCGTGTTCTCTTCCTCTTCATACCACTGCCAATGTTCTGGGCCCTGTTTGATCAGCAGGTACAGTACTGTGGGTACAGCTCTGCCTGCCAGCCTCAGCTGGCACCTCTGTCCTTTTGGGGTAATATGAAAGCATCCTGGGGACACAGTGGGCCACACTCCTACCAAGTGTCCAGGGCCTTCCACCATCACTGCTGGTCAGCCCCTCAGAGTCCTGCCAGGTGTCTGGCACAGGAGAATGAGAGGGGAGAATGTGCCCTGCCTAATGACAGGTGTTGCAGGGAAGGGAAGGAATAGATGGGAAATAAGCCCTCCATCGCTGTCATCTTCTCTGTCCCCGTGTTTACTAGCCCCATAGAACATCTTGAAGGCTTCACTGCTGTCTGTTTTCTGTTTAGGGATCCAGGTGGACTTTGCAAGCCACAAAAATGAATGCTGATTTTGTAAGTACTTAATGTCATCAGGGCTGGTAAGACTAGTAGTAACATCCCTGCTCTTGCTTATTAACCGGAGTCTTGCAGTACTAAGAGCGTCTGCTTGGTGAATCTGGGTGAGTCTCACTTTTGGTGATTAGAAGCCAGAGGCTCTGTTCATGCAGCCATGTTCAGTTCATCACAGCTCATCTCAGCTAGACGTGAGGGCTGGGGAGCCATCAGCAGCCTGCAAGGTCAGGGGTGCTGACCTGCTGGCAGCCAGTGGCTCTGAGACCTAGAGCAGGTAGGATTTTCAGCCTGCTGCCCCTATGGAAGCCAGACAACTCACTCAGCCTTTTTAAGGTGTGACTAGAGCTGTTGTACATTCTGCACTGGATCACTTGGTGATACATTAATGAAGCCTCTCAAAACCAGCAGGACTCTTGTGTGTAGGTTAAAGATGCAATAGGGATTAATTAGCTAGTTTTTGTAAAGTTCTTCAAAGGTGTGAATGGCAAATGGTGCAGGCTACAGTAGCAGATAAATGCAGATCAGCTATCTGCCCGAAGGAGTCTCCGCACTGGGCTGTTTTTCAGACATAAATGTTTTAACAGGCCATCTAGATCTTGCCTGCAGATGCTCACATCAAAATCTAGGATTGTAGGATTCCATTTTCCAGTTTAAAATTGTCTTAAGGCCACAAATTTTAGACCTTCTATGTCACTCCTGTAAAAAATTGGGCTCTCAATATGTGATACTCATTAGGCTTAATTAGTTCAAATGAGGCATGAAAAAGACTACACCTTGGGTAATATTTATCCACCTTAGAAAGACAGAACAAAGTCCATGCAGTCTATGTGATGTATATCTAAAACATTTGTTTTCTGGTGTTTTCGCTCACATGCACTTAGTGATCCATTAGCAGGAGAGCTAAGTATCACCAGGTGTCACTACTGGCATCTCTCAGGTGAACAAAGATAGATTCAAGGCTTTTTTTTTTTGTCACACCAACTTGGATAGCTCCTTTTGTTTCAGTCTCCTCTGCTCTGCCCTTATGAGCTGCCCCACTTCAAGAAGGTGAAAATTAACTGCAGCATCGGGGTGATTCCACCCTTAGGCTTGTTGGAGTTCATGTTTGTAATACTCTGTGACTTTCTCTTCAGTGGACAAGGGCTCAGCTGGGAAGTCTGGAGTCAAACAGGGAATGATTTAGCGTCAGATGAAGTTTGCAGGCTCATTTCCTAATGGCAAATTTCTATACTGTGTGCAAAGTAGCAGGAGGGGGTATTTGCCTAGTATTTTTCCACTCTCCCAGGAGGCAGCTGTGTCTAGACTCACAGGCAGCCAGTCTAGACTCAGCTCAGGACAGGACTGGCAGACAGGGGAGAACCCCCCCAGCATTTTCTTGGAAATACATTATTTCCTTCCTAATTTCTTCCCTCCTGCACCCTTCCATCTTCTTTGTCTTAATTTCAAATGAAAAGCATTTCCTGGAGTTCAGAAAACCACCAGTCCCTCCCTAGAGACAAGTCCATGGTTCCTTTTGGAGTCTGGCATCCATCCATCCATCCATCCATCCATCCATCCATCCATCCCTGTTGACCCTGCCCATTTCATTTGTGGAGGCTGGGATAGTGATGCAAGTGTGAGGCACCTCTAACAGCCTTGAGGATTCTTGCCTCAAACCTAGAAGCTGCAGTTGTCCAAAGCCTGTTAGATACAGATGGGGGGAGGAAAGAGGTGTTTGTGCAGCCCCGTGGCTCAAGGATGGTCTTTCATTATCCTTTTGGAAACCTGGGAGAAATGCCAACAAAGCTCACAGGGTCCTGAAGTTTGGGAACACTCTCTTATAGGATTGGGGCTTTTCACTTCATAGAAGCAGGGAGGGAAGAAGCTCTAAGCTTGCCTCCCAGCTTGGACACTAACACCCCCACTCTTCTCCACTCACCTAGTTCATGGCTCAGCCAGCCTGAAAGATGGGCCTCAGTACCTGTCATGAGCTGTGTCACAGCTGCCAAATACCAAGGATTGAGTGCAGCTTCCTTCTGCAAAATTATCTTATTTAACACTGTGTCCTTAGACAAAAAGTGTCAAGAGCACAATATCAGCTGCTAAAGCCAACATAAAGCATTTGAGGAAGCAACCACCTTGGCTGAAAAGGCCTCTCTGGGACCGATTGCTTATTTACCATATGCACTGATATGTTATAGTGTTTATGAATCACTTGGAATGTCTTTTTGTTTCAGGGAATATATGTCCTTCAGCCTGACCAAATGCAGGTAAAAGATATTACAGGGTAGCAAATAACTCTTAGAATGTATCTTCTTCTTTCATTTATATTTTTCTCATTGGACCAGTGGCCATTCTCTGCTCCTTTTCAAGGTAATAGCAGTGCTCCTGCTGGTTGCTGTGGTGTGGCCTGTGCCTTATTGTTCACAGGCTGTTTTGCAAGCTTGGGGTTCAGAAGACCCCAAGGAAGACCTAATGCAGAAGTTGACTCCTGCAGGCTGCATGAACCACCATAATAATTCTTCAGCTAGTGCTGGCATGTGGAGAATACAACCTGTATCTCCTTTTAACAGGCTCCTATCGTGGGATGAACATTATTCTTGAAATATGTTTGATTCCTCCCTTTCTGCAGGATGGATGAAAACATGAAAGCAAGATGGTGCTATGTTGTCACAGTTGATTACAATTCTTATGGTGAATAGCTCTGGAGAAATTCAAAGCTCTTCTGTTCCCTGAAATCTTCCTTTGGAACAGAAACAACATTTCTCCCTCCTTGTTCTTCATTGCTCTCTATTTTCTTGCTCAGCCACTTCTGGCTGGCAGACAAGCTGTGCTCCCACCAGGAGAAATTTTGCTCCTGAGGGATTACTTGGTTGTGTTGAAGTGTGAGAAATTGCCAATCTCACAGAATAGTGCCTGTTCCTCTGGGATTTTGCTGGAGTCCCAAGATGTTTCCATTGTTGCTGATTTGTTGTGAAGTCCCACCACAGCACCAAAGGTCACCTGTCTCTATTGTCAGTGGGGTTTGTACTCTTTAAAAACATCATGTTTCAGCTCTTTCTCCAGGGAAACTGGGCCAATAATGCTTGCTTGCCACTTGGAGAGGAGGATATGAACAAAATGTATTCATGTCTGTGAAAACTAAATAGCAGAAGCTGTTAAGTGCAAACTGTGGTTATATTTTTAAAGGAGGTTTTAAGTGTTTGTCCACGTCCCTTCTGTAAAGGATTTCTTTCTGGAGGACATTGCTTTATGGGTTTAATTATTAAAAGTTGTTTTCTAGTCACTGAACTCCCATTCTTTTGTATTGCAGTTCCTAAATCCACTTCTTATTCTTGTCTTCATCCCAATTTTTGACCTTGGGCTCTACCCCCTGATAAGCATGTGCAAATTGAATTTCACGTAAGTACTTGGGGACAATGCAGATGCATCTGTGCTTTTTCTTTCGCTGTAAGTGTGCAGAATAGTTTTTAAGGAAGAGAAATGCAAATTTCCATTTACCTTTCCCAATGCTTGAGTATGCTTCAGTCCCAAGAGGCAGCATCCCTCTCTTCCACAGAAGGAAGTGACTCATTTCCTCATGGAAATGCCAGAGGGTAAAACCCAGTGATGTTGGATTCTGCTCTGTACAGATTTTTCCAAAAGCATATACAAGTAGACTCATTTTGAATTTGATCAACGTGTTTTCCACCTTGTTTCCCAGGTCATGCCTAAATAATTCCCTCCCTGAAAAGTCCCCATGGGACCAAATTCATGGTCCCATGCTGGCTTGGATCTGAACCAGTGAGTGCACAAGGAGATTTCCATATGAGCCAAGCATTTTATCCTTAGTCTATGTTAGCAAGAAATGCAGTGTAATAGGAGCAGACCTTGGGTTGTTTGTGAGACCCACTTTATGCAATTTGTGTGAATTAACTTCAGAGTATCTGTATTCTGCCTCTGTGGACTGATGCCCTGTAGCAGTGGAAGTACATTATGTGCACTCTTGGAGTGCCTTTGTCACTGGAGTTTCAACTGAAAGGAGACAAGTTTCCATGCTCCAGCACCACTTCTGCATGTGAGCCATAGCATGGGAAAGGATAGTGAGTGGGGTGACTGGCTTAAAAAGCATGTTCTTAATCCAAACTAAAATGCTGGCCAGACAAAACCACATAAAATGGGGGTGGCAGGTGCCCCAGAAGCCTTCCCCTTCACCCTGCTGGTCCTTTCCCACCACGCTGAATGACTTGCACCTGAAGACATATCAAAAATATTGTCCTGGTGTCCCTTGGAGAATACACATCAGAGGCTGTGCTTCTCCCTGATACCATGTGAGCCCATGGCCTGGACTGTGCCTTGACTTGGCAGAAAACTTCCTGCCTGATGGCCAGCTCACAGAGTAGTTCACCCAGCAGCACAAACTCAAGAACCAACCAAGACTGAATGCCAGGACTAAAGACCATTGCAAAGAGTGGAGACCACTGAATCTAGAACCAGATTTGTCTCAAATCTCAACACTCAACTCAATACTCAGTTTGAATCTGCTGTTCTGGACTTGCATTATTCTGATTTATATCAGATTTTCTCACGTAATTCTGGTAAAGTTGCACTAGCTTTGCCTTGAGTTTAGAAGAAAGCTTTTTATTTTCTAGAAATATAAATGGATTGGCATGAGAAATAACCCAGAATGAGGCCCCAGATGGTCAGAAACTTTGATGACATAAACTACACATTTTTCTGTTCCTCATTCCCACTGCTAAATAGAATGTTACTTTCCTTTTGCCTTTCCCAAAAGGGACTTGAAGATACATAATTTCTGGTGCTCCTTCCAACATCATGGATTAACATAATGTCATGAGCTATTCCCACTAGAAGAGCTGGGAAAAAGATAATATGAAACTTGCAAGGAAAGAACTTCTTTTCATGGCATATCAGTTTTAATTGGCCTCAGTGCTGGCCTCATGCAGAATAATAAAATAGTTTTAAGTTAAGAGATTGGCAATTTAAACAACCTGTCATCCTGAGTGCCACCTGTTGGACAGTTTATTACATGGTTTTCGCACATCTTTGGCTCTGAGGAATGGTATTCTATAGTTTAAATTACTTTTTTTTCCTTAATGGCACCTCTTTCATTTGCTCCATAGACCTATTAGGAAAATGGCAACAGGTATGATCCTTGCAGGGCTGGCATTTGGACTTGCAGCTGTTATAGAAGTCAAAATAAATGTAAGTAAAGCACAAGGCATTCCTCAGAAATTCTTTCTTTCCATGGGGTGTAATTATTGATGTCTGGTAGATAATCCTTTAAGCCATTGTGCTCCTTGGTCAAACTTTGTAATGTTTTCTTTACAATTGGGCATACTGATCCAGTTGCTAATGATAATTCTTACCTTGTCTACTTTTCCCTCTCTTTGTCTCTGTGTCTTTCTTTCTAGTCTTTGCAGTTTTCCTGTGCTGGTCATCTGTATTGGTCTATATTCTAGATTTCCATCGTCAAAGTGCTTGACAGACATCTAGTTAATGCTAGTGATTAATTTCCAAAAGGTAGTCTGTTCTCTCTCCTATTTCTTGCTGTAGCTTGCCTATACTTTTCTGTTTGGGGTCTTTTGTGTGTGTGTGGTCGTTTTGGTTTTTTATTTAATTGTTTTAAAATTTTAAAATGTAATTACTTTCCTGCTTTATGATGGGAATGGCTTTTTTTACAAGCCATATTGTTTCTCTGGGGGGGCAGGTGAATGCTGACACAGGCATCAGGGACTGCCAGGCATCCCCAGAGAGGATGGCAGCACATCTCTTATAAATTCCATGTTAGCTCCTACAGATTGGTACTGTTTGTTTCTGGCTCATGACCAGCATTGTGTAGACTTTGGCTGACCTTTGTCTCACAAAAGTTACTATAGGATTAATTTTTGAAGCTTCTATGTGTACTTAAAACGTTCTGTTAGAGTGGCTGGCTCACAGCCCTGGATTAACATCTGCTGGTTCCTCAGGTGAATCCCCTAATGAGCCTCCCACTGAAATGAGACTGTGTGGGTTCAGGTCGTTTTTCTGATCTCTTTATGTGAGCAAAGAAATGCTCTCATTGCCACCACCAGAATCTCTGGCCAAGCACCAAAGTTTGCTCTGGCTGTGGGTAACTCCTCTGGGCAGAGGCAAGGTGAGTTAGAGGTTCCCTTCTGCCTGTACATGAAAATTTTACCCTAAAGGCCATTTTAAGATCTAGCAAAGAAGAGGATAAGATGGTCCACCCTCACTTGACTGTGGGCAGCAGAAGTGAAAAGCTACAGTAATGGAATTTGGTGAATAATATTAGCAAGCCTGTTGGTCCAGAGCAGCATGTGGATACAGGAAAATCAGCTCATTCTGACTTCTTTGGTAGTGTGTCTCCCCACCCAGTTAGGTTCAAAATTCCCTGCCTGAAATACCCAAATTATCAGATAAGATAGAAGAAAAATAAATAGCTCTTCAGTATGGCTGGCAGCTACTTGAAAATAAAATGAGAAAAAAAGAGAAGTTAAAAAAAATATTAGCTCTGCAGGTAGTACAAGGCTGACACTGATTGATGTACTCTTTCTAGGAAATGATTCCTGGCAGAAGGAGATACCTCAGTGCTGGAGGCATCAGCTTACCGCTCTCAGAAAACAAGAAATAACATCTATACAGTCAGCTGTATAGATAGCAAGGTGTCCAGTAATGCAAAAGCTCTGATTACAGACATGAAGCTGGACTTGGATTTTCAAAACTACTTAACTTCTGATCTGATTCTTTTCCCAGTCACTGACTGCAGTGGGTAATAATTATTCTGGTCACTGCTTTTGAAAGCTAAGCACAAATTTTTCCATTCTCATGTGGCAGTTGGTTAAATCCAGGCACGAGGGAGCTGTATAATGAAAGCTGTGACATTCTTCTACCTCCTCAGTAGGTGTGTAGTCTGTACACTTAGTGGTGTGAAGAGCAATTTTTGGGAGGAATGATGGGTTGGCCATTGAGCTACTATGAGGAAACCTCCCTAAAAATTATTTATGTTCAGTTTTCTCTGAGTGCAACTTCTGTTGAGGAAGGGATGGAAAAGTGTCATTACAGAGAGGAAGACTATTATGGCTAAAAATGAAGAGATATTAAAGTGCTAATAAAGCATACAGATGGCACTTAAAGCCTTTTACTTTAATTAGGAAACCGATATGCCTCGACTTGTCTCAAAAGAAAGTTTAATTCGGGTCCTGAATTTGGCAAAGAACCCTGTTCAAGTGACAATCCAAGACAAGGACCTATTTCAGCAGCCTGTGGAGTCTTTTCAGGTAAGCATATATTTGGGACTGAAATGCCTGACTTGCATGTCATTGAAGAAAGGATGGAGTTTTTTTCAGGCATTTTCTAATAAAGCCCACAGATGCAAAAGCTTGTTCTGCTCTATCACCTCAGAAGTGCATGGGAATAGCTTTACAAATGAAGCATAATATCTGTTATATGAAACAGAAATTGAACATTTGGAGAAGAATTTCCCTGGCAAAGCATACACCTTACATTCACCTGTAATTAGGAATAAAGGATAACAGGATTAAAAGAGAGGGTCGTGTTGTACCCGGTAGGAAAATACAAATCCTTTCTTATCTGAAGAAAGTGTAACCAAGTTTATTTTCTTCCACAGAACCCAGCTGAGTACTCAAAATTAATATTGAATGGAGAGCAACAGAGCCTTCACTTCACCCTGCAACATCAAGGATTGACTCTTGCTTTTAACTACACCGTGAAGGAAAAATCAGTATACAGCTTAATTGTTTTTGAGGCAGAAGGAAGCCTATCAAGCCGCTTAGTGAGTGTGGGAGTGAAGTGTAAATACAGTATTAATTCAATGGCTGGGATGCTACAATGGGGTAATAGGCTCATTAATTCATTTACTCAGTTGCAATGTCTGTCTGATTGCTCTCAGATGGTCTAAACCTCACTTCTTAGCTAGAGGCACTGGATCTGTACACATTTCTGTTGGTTGATTAATAGAGGCGTTGTGGCATCTGAGAGTTTCTGGGCACACTTTAATCCACTGAGTGCTGCTGTGGGAGAGCAGAGTCATGCCTGCTAGGCAGCAGAGCTGGAGAAAGCTGGGGAAACAGGGCCAGAGGTTTTCCCCCAAAGATGGCTCTATAAAGCAAAGATGCTGAAGAGGCTCTAGGGCTGGCCATGGAATAAAAGCATCAGAGGAATGATTCTGGGATTAGTTATTGCAAATGTTTAGTGAAAAAGCACAGAAGGCCCATTTGTTTTGCTGAACAGAATAAATAATTAAGCTCATTTCAGGCTCTGCAGCAGAGCTGGCTGTATTTGGACTTTTGTGTATTTCTGCAACAATCAGAGAGGGACATATGGGATGTGTAGGGCAGATTCTGATATCTTTTGTGCATAGCTGTATCCTAAGAAGCTGTCTTGAAATTCATGGTGTTATTGCAAATTGTGGCAGGTGTGTAAATGCCATCAGAATCTGTCTTCATGCTAAAATATCCATTCTCTTTGCAGTTCCTGAAACTTTTACCTTGCAGGGTAGCCACACCAAGCATTCAATATTATATAGTAGAAACCATATAACTTTTTTGAAATTAATTTAAAGAATTTATTTTGTCATAACATCAGGATTTTTTGCTGATGATCAGACTTCATGGTTTGGAGGCTAGGACTCAGTGTCACACAAAATTAACTTTCCCTGTGACACTGAAATCTTTGTGCTGTTTCTTTAGGAAATGGATACTTGTGATTTTCATACAGTCTTTAAGAAGCAAAAACCTGCAACAGGCTTGGAGCATATCAGTCTCAGAGCTCCAGTATATCTATGCTGCCCCAGCTGTCTAGACTGTGCTTAAATTAATGCCCACCCTGGCATAGGCAGGCTCTCGTGTGCTGGGAAACATCTGTGCTGTTGGGTGATGCTATTGACCTGTCATTCACAGCTCTAGATACGGGAGATGTGGAAGACAGCATGGTAAATGATACTTTTCCAGCACTGCAACACAAGGAAAGCAGTGCCAGCATCACTGCTGTGTTGCAGGGCTCACCCTTGAGTTACCTCCCTCACTGCTGGACTTGGCCCACTCACTCAGGTGGGAGTGCTTTCCTGGAAGGATCCTAGCTGAAATTGGTTTCTTCTCCTTTGTGGGCTGTTGAGTAGGCAGGAAATGAATTTGAGAGCTCTGGGGATCATCAGTGAATACGAGTAATAGTTTGGCTGGTCTGTCTGCAACGAACTAGAGTATTCATCCCCATGTGTCTCCCATGGAAAAAAAATGATGTTGCCGTTTATTATTTATTGCTCTGACATTTATTATTCACTGTGGCTATTTATTATTTAGGGCATATGTTATTTGTGGGTAGCATATTACTCTGAAGTACAATAGACATTAATAGATATACTGAAATTCTGGATCCTTGGTCTCAGAAAATCAGGGTTTTGCATCAGGAAAAAAAGTGTTGTGAAAGGGACAGGAAACTTTGAGAGAGAGCCAGTTTCTAAAGTCCCTTTTGGCTTGCCTGGGTTCCATCTGGGTTCTAGCTGTGGCCTCCAGGAGAGAGACTCTCACTCCCCAGTGTGCCCATCCCCAGATGGCCATTGCAGGGATCTGTCTGCAGGGATCTGTTTGTGAGCACAAACAAGCATCTTGGTTTCTCCTACTCTCTGCCTGCACATTAAAACAGTTTAATCTCTTGAGTACTGAGGATCAGGGAAAGCATGAGAGGCATGATCATCAGTAGAGTAACGTAGCATTTCCTCTCAGCTTTAGACTTCTGTGAAGTCTATGAGTATGACAAGAATCAGGGTCTGAAAGTTAGGCATTTGCAGATTTTGTAGGAGTGAGGCACTTAAGTTTAATTGTAACTAGTCACTGAAAGATGCTAATGTGGATAGTGCTCTCTTGCTATCTCAATATCAAGAAAAGTACTTTTTTTGGAGAGTGTTACATGCCTCAGTAGAAGGCTGACTGGCTAAAACTCAGTAGCCTTTGTTACGGAAGCGATGAGGAGAAAAGGTATGATCTCATCTTAAGCCCTTGCAGGAGATGAAATTTTGCCACTGGCTTCATTGTACCAGGGCTCCCCAGCTGTGGCCTGATGTAAAGCTTATGTGAGAGTCCAGTGGATTTCCACAGGCTTTGCAGGACATGTGTAACTCTGCAGCCACCACTGTTGTCTGCCACACATTGTAAGGCAGCATTAATAAATATGTTTGATGGTTTTTTTTCTTCCTCTCTTTAGATTACAGACTTGGAAGCAAAGCCAGAAAATGGTTTGGCAGCTGTTAGGTAGGAATGGCTTTTTTTTTTTTTGAGGATTTGGTGGTGGTTGGGTGAGGGAAAGTGCTTTTGTCTGATGCATCTGTATGTAACATAGCCCAGATGTTCTTGGGTTGGAATCCAGTCCACACTTCTCATGCAAGACTTGGGTGTCAGCTGTGGAGGCTTGACAGAGTGTCACCTCCCACACATGCCATGCAGAGCTGAGAACTATTGCTGCTCACTGCCTAGGATAGTCTGGGCTGTGATGGCAACATAAAAGAGCTCCTTCCTTGGAAAAGTGGCAAATTCATCTCACTGATGAAAGGGAAGCAGCAATTTGGATAGGAGCTGTTGCTATGTCCTTTGCAAATTGGCTAACCCATGATGTTCACCCAAACTCATGCAGAAGTGTCTACTAAATTGGATGCAGCAACAATTTTACATCCTCATAAACAATTCAGCTGGGCATTGGGTTCTGCTTAGTTCACTCTTCCCAATTTGAGCTTGTCCATTTAGTCCATGAACACTCCTGTTCTGGTTTGTGCTGGCTGCTGAGGTGCAGAAGATGCAAATTTGCAAAAAAAACCCTTAAAAAACAAAACACAGTAAGCCACCAAATAAAAAACAAACAAACAAAACCCCTCAAAAAACCAGTATTCCAGCTAGACTTTCTAGAGGATTTGGGCAAGGTGAAATTAGGAAAAAAACAAAACAACAAAATGAACCCACCACCAAATAAAAACAAAAAAACCCCAACCAAACAAAACAAACAATGTCCAAGACCTCTATCTGAAAACCTGTGTAGGCAAACTAGAAGAACAGTATCTCTTCATAGCCCTGTACTTGTGAAGGTTTCTACTGACTAAACACCCTTGAAGACTTGATTCAGTCAGAATTTTTTTTATATTTTCTTGTGAAGATTTTTGACAAAATCCCCAGACTTTCCATTTAAGAATTTGTAAAGAAGTTTCACTAGGAAGAAACTATTTTTGCACTAAAAATTTACTTTTGTTAAGCACTTGACTAACTTCAGGGATTTCACCCCCATTTAAAGAACTGAAAACAAAAATATCTTAAAATATAGGTCAAATGAAAAGGGTTTGGTTTTACTATCAATTTTTGACTTGTCAGAGGGAAACTGTCTTTTGTCTATGAAAGAACACCAAACAAACTGTTCCCATATAAGTTCTAGTTTTGGTGAAGATATCTTATTATGCTAGAAAACTCCTTGCCACTTGTAGAAGCTCTTTGCCAGCATGGTGCACCTGCTCATCAGGATGCACAACTTCAGAGTTTCCTGTGGTAGGCTGAGACTGCCCCCTCACACAGCCATGGAACTGTCACCATAGTGTCACAGAATGGTCTGGGTTGGAAAGACCTTGAGATCACTCTGTGCCAACACCCCTGCCATGGACAGGGACACCTCCTGCTAGACCAGGTTGATCAAAGCCCAGTCCAGCCTGGCCTGGAACATTTCCAGGGATGAGGCATGCACAACTTTGTTGGGCAACCTGTTCCAGTGTCCTGCCACCTTCATAATGAAGAGATTCTCCCTAAAATCTAACATGATTTAACCCTACCCTCTTTCAGTTTAAAGGCATTCCCCCTTGTCCTATAACTCCATACCCATGTAAGAAGTCCCTCTCCAGCTCTCATGTAGGATCTCTTCAGGTACTGGAAGGTGCTCTGAGGTCTCCCTGGAGCTTTCTCTTCTCCAGCCTGAACAGCCCCATCTCTCTCATCCTGTCTTCACAGGAGAGGTGCCCCAGCCCTCTGATCATCTTCATTGTCACCTCAGAATTTGCTGCAATCTTTGTTGGTCTCCGAGACTGGATTGCCAGGAGGTTCTAGACCACAAAAAGTGAGGGACACTTTTCATAGAAAAGAGAGTAAGAGGGTAAAATTGTGCAACAAGGAAAATAATCTTGTATTGAAAAACTAGGCAATGAATCAGACAAATATTTTGGAAACTTGCAGAAGAGACTCATAACCTTATGGAATTACAGAATGCTTTGGGAGAGTATGCAAACTTCTAAAGTGTCTGCTGTTATTCTTCTGCCCTGTCTGACAGGCCAATGAAATATGGTTTCTTTGCAGATTCATTAATGGTTTGAGCCAAGATGTCAACCTCACCATCGATAGCAAAAGGTTTATTGCTGTTCAGAAAAACTACAGTGCTTCTGAGTACTCACTGCTGGAGAGGGATGTGTAAGTCTCTCTTCCTGAGCTGAAGGTCTTTGCTGAGGCATTTCCTTGGGTACAAAGAGACTTTTCTCAGCCTAATAGCAAAACCTGCATTGCTATTGTCTTGGCATGTGGTTGTGGGGGCAGATGTTTGTAAAAAGCAGAATTATCAGCTCAGTGCAGAGCAGGTGTTCCAGGCCAGTCATGTGTGTGCAGAAGTTTTTACTCACATTATGTGGGGGCCTGGAGGGAAGAGACTCATCATTCCTGTGCATCTGTCAGTGGAGTAAGGTGGGACATGGTGAAGTCTCCTCTGCCATTTAGTGCCTGCTTTATTTTGTTATTCTCTCAGGCCCAAGCTCCTGGTATTAGGGTGCTCTCAGGGAAAGGCCAGTTCATATTCCATCCTGCAAAGTGTTAGTATGTGGGCTGGTAACATCAAGTGGCATTACATGGCTTTGCAGGCTGGGCTTGTTAGACAGGGGCTCCATATGGCCTTGGTTTGGCAGTACTGCAGTTGGCTCTTGTAGGGTATTTCTAGCATTTCCAGTGTTTCAAAACAAGCTTCATGGCTTTTCTCTGCATCAGCTCCATCCAAAATATTTATTGCTGCAATTTAGTAGGATGCAGCAGCCATTGTGGCAATGCTGCTGAGCTTCTGTGCCATCTCACACATCCAAAATCAGAAGAACAAACATGAAGGCTAATTTGCTCTGTTGAAAGGAAACAAAGTTGCTTCTGGGTCCACATCTCTGAGCTCCTATTGACTACTTGTCTGGCCTATATTTCCTGAAGAAATGCAGCAAAATTTGGGAGGAAAATAAACCTAAGGGGAGGAAAAAAATTACATCAGCACTACAAAAGAACAGAAACCATTAAAAATGTTAGCAATGGTCATTAGGTGAATTGCAGTGTCTAAGTGCTTCTGGAAGGATAAGACAGCAAGAACTCCAGTGATTGTTTGATGTAAACACTACTGCATTTTTACATCTTGCATCCTCCCTGCTCCATTTCAGGGGTATGCTTGATGCCACTGCTCTGTGTTCTTTGTTTGTGGAACTAACTGGGAAATACTGTCCTTCATCCTTTTATCTAGATATAATAATGGAAAATGCATAACTGAAACAGGAGAGTTCCCCCTGGAGCTGGGGCTGCTTGACTTCGGTGCCTCATACACCATTGTGATAACTAATGTAAGTGTTCCTGTGATGGTCACACACTCCTGTTCTGCTCTCTGGTAGTGCTTTTGTTCCTGTGTTGGTGACTCTCACTTGCTTTGTCCACTCCCTGATCCCTCAGCAGTAGCCAAGTGAGGGCAGTCTGTTATCAAAGGAATTGTAGAAAGTTTTGGTACCTACATAAACAAGGTGGGTGTGTATTTGTTCCACCTTACACCATGATCATGTCAGACTGCATGGGTTAAAAAGAAGTAAAATCTTTTCCTTGATAGAAATCCTCCATAGAAAATCATGTGATCTGTGGTTTGTGTTGGTCTCATGCCATCCTTGAGCAGTTAACATTGACCCAGAGCACTGCAAAGAGTTATTACCACCTGCCAAGAGCTGACTCTGCTTGTGGTCTTTAAAAGATTGTACCTGGTGGTGTCTCACACTCAAAAAATTGCAGAAACAGTCTGCTCTATCCTCACATTTAGCTTACTGAACTAAAGTCTGATCTTCCAAGATTTTGTAGATTATGCATAGGGGGAAGAGGGACAAAGTCCTGAGGGAGGAGGTTGGTGAGGTTTTACATCCATTTCCTCCTCTCACTGTCTGTACAGATAATTTAGAGCCTAGTGTAAAGTCAAGGCATGGTTTTCTGAACAGCCTGGCCCTGATGGGGTCTGGGCACTGCTGAAAGGGTGGATTCCTTTCCCTGCATGCCAACCTCTCAGACACACTGCTTCAACCCTGGTCCAGCTGGCTGGAGCCACAGAGATGAACATGATCAGCTTAGCTCCCATTTTAACCTTTCCACCACAAAGGCACACAGACAAACTGAGTCTGACAGGACACACTGCTAAGCTGCCCTCTGGGACGTTGGCTGCTGTGTTGTGATGAGCAGAGCAAAGTGTTGTCATCTACTCCCTGGCAGTAGCATCTCCCTGTTGTGCAATTAATGGGAGCTGTTCATGGCTGCAGAGTCCAAATACGTCGAGGGAAAAATATAGCCATGAAGCACCTGGTATTTTTTTTTTTCCAATTCCAGTAGCTGGAGTGGGATGTACAGCCCTGGAGGGAACAAGCAGATGCTGCCATCTGTGAATGCAGAGATTTATGTACATAAAACACACACACTTGAAGTGATGTTGGCCAGACCCCTCTTCTATGGTTGCAAGCCTCTTTCACCAGATGAGAAACCAGATAGAGAGGTTGCATTAAAAATATAACACTAAGAAAATTGCCCCAGAGCCTCTGGTAACAGGGCCAGCTGAGGTAAATGTGTCCCATGTCACTGTGCCAAGGATTCCAGTTTGTGGTCCCATCTGCGTAAGTCCCTGCTATAGCCCTGGCTGCTCAGGGTGGCTCTGTGCCTCAGCCCTTCCAAACCTTGTGCTAGTACTTTAATATTTTTCATCCTCTGTTTTTCCATCTCTCTCTCTGTGGTTTCTGCTTTCTGTAGAGATTTAGTTTGCTTGAGGCCAAGATCACTTTTAATTATTGCAGTGATTTGTACTGAGCCCTGCTCCTCTGCCAGGAGTGCCATATAGAAGAACCAGGAATACAATATATTAGTCTGCTAATGTAGCTGAACTGTGAAACTTAAATCATGGGGATGCTGCCTTCTACCCAGCCTTCCTCAGTGTGCAGTTACAGCATGGTGCTTGTGACATTTCTTTATGGGCTAAAGAGCAATGCACAGCACTCTTCTCACCCCTTTTAGCCTGCTGAAATAAAGTTTCTTGAGTTGCCTCCCTGGCAATGATTGGTGATTAAGAACATCTTGTAAACATCCATTGTATTTTTCCTCCTTAAACACAGGGCTTTCTGCCTGAAGTCATTTCAGTCTAGTGTTTTCCTGGCTTCTAGTCAATTCTCTCTCAGCCTCTGAGCCTCTGTGCATCACAGGCAGTATTAATTACACCTGGGAAAAGAAACAAAAATAATTAGGAATATAGCTACCATAACTATCTGAATAGATCTGATATGGAGCAGTCTTTGCTACTCTTGGCTTTCCTGAGCTGAATTTGTTTGGGTGTCACTGATATCATAGGGAAGTTGTACACTGCTGATAAAATGGGAGCAGTGAACACATGGCTGCAATGAGCACTTACCCTCTCATCCTTTTTTGACCTTGAGGACATCAGCAGGTCACTGGCTCTTCACTGGAACCTCACAGGCTTTTCCTAGCCCCACTACAGAAGACAACTTGTTGGTTTGCAATAATTCAGGGAATTCTTGTGGTACCTAAATGAGCTGGAATCCTTCCATCCTGCTCTCTCTGCCCTGTGCAGCAGGAGTCATCCTATTCCCAACAGGCTTGGAAATGGCAGGGTTGAGAGCCATAGTTTGCTTCAAAGGCAGAGGGTTTTTTCCACCTTTGCTTAAAACTGTTTTTTGGTAAATTTGCTGCTGTTGTTCAGGCTAAGAAAAATCTGATCTTTCAGCAACTAATTAGTGTGCCTTTTTTTTCCTGCTAGATTTCTGGAGGTGCTGTTGAGACGTGGAAGTCAGAAGACATCAAAGCCAACAATGTCCACATGGCCTGGCAGTTACCACAATATTTACTGATATCTGCTGGGGAGGTGATGTTCTCCATTACAGGTCTGGCCTTCTCCTATTCTCAGGTACTCCACTTAAAGATAAGGACCTTACAATTAGACTTCAAGATTTATTTCTGCATCTGCCATTGACTTGTCATACCTCCTTTGACATGACACTAACAATGTTGTCTATCCTTCAGCTGAAAGTGGGATCATAACACAGCTTGCTGGGTACCCTCAAGCTAAATTAATTCATATTCTGAAGGTACCTGTTCTCAGTGATACTTGGAAATATCCTTTTCTGGTCAACCTGAGAACACAGAACAGAACTGGACAGTTAACGGGAAAACTCTGAATATTTTGTTATCAGGGTTTTCTCCTAGTGAAATATTTTGTGCTCTGTATTTTTCAGTGATATAAAGGCAAGGTATCTCAAGGGCTACAGGGTGGCATGAGGACTTGGCACCTGCTTTAAACTGAGAGACTGAAGGGGTCTAAACATGCAAGGTTGTAACAAGGGAGCAAGGGGTAATGAACCTGCAAGGGATGATTTGATTGTTATCTGGGGAGGTTGATGAGAAGAGAGGACTGAGACATTACATGGTCAAACAGCTACTGAAGCTGCTCAAATCTATCCCTGGAGTAAGGTGCAGATGTTTATTAATGAGGATGATTAATGCAGTGGGATGATCTGTAATGGGATGTGAAAAATTTGTCCTCAGCAGGAAATTTAACATCAAGATCCAGTCTCTTTTCCAAAGGTGTACAGCCACATGGCACCAGACTTCAAGCTGCAGGGCTCGTGTGGCTCCTTGGACGTCCTGATCGTACCATTTCAGATGATGCAGGTTGGGGATGAGCCGGAGTCAGCTCTGCAACAACAGCATCTCCTGCTTCTTCATGTGTCCTCCTGCCCATGTTTTGAAAGCTCCTTGTATGCAGATGTTGAGATTAACCACAGATTAACCACTCCACACAGAGAAAATTCCACCATCTCCTCCTAGGCTGAGCCCAGTGACACCTGCACTGGGCAGGACTCCAGAGGGTGAAGCAGGGCTGAAGGGCACAGCAGGATTCCCACTGATCAGGCCCTTCTCCTCTTTTCAGTCTCCAGCCAGCATGAAGTCGGTGCTGCAGGCAGGCTGGCTGCTCACCGTGGCTGTGGGGAATACCTTTGTGCTCATTGTTGCCGAGGCTGCACCAATGGCACAGGTATGGTTTGGCTCTTAAAACAGAGGTCATGCTTTACAACAGGCTTCTGGTGCTTCTGGATGGCCATGTCCTGGTGCACAGCTTCCCTGCCCAGCCCCAGGCTCCTGCACCTGAGCTGACAGCAGCTCACTCTGAGCTGTCCCCCAGCCTCTGCTCCATGGGGCCCTCAGTGGAGCTCCCCTGGAGAGCACTGGCCCTCCCTGGCCCTCCAAGGGCTGGAAGTGCCTGACCTGTGCTGGTAACTCTGCTGGAGCTCAGCTCTAGGCAAGCTGGCTGTGTCTGCACCTGGAGGCTGCACACAGAGGCAGCCACACGCTGAGTGCTCCCCAGCAACGAGAGCAGAGGGCACTCAGCCTTCCTCAGGGGTCTCGCCTGGGGAGTCCTGCCAGGCTGCCTCTGGCGTCCCTGAGATGTCAGGCTGACAGGGGGAGGTCGTGGTGCAGAGGTAGTTTAATTCAGGCTGTGAAACTTCTGGGATGATGCCAGGAAGGTGTGCACTAGGGCATATTTCTGGCCAGCATGAATCTGCCTCTCCCAAAAGAATCTTGTAGGCAAAAAGCCCAGGTGGGTACGTTCCAGTCAGATTTGTAAGAAAAGATTAATGACACCAACTCAATCTAACTGTTTTGTTTCAAGAGGTATCACATATTTGTAATTACATTATGTGTACAAGCATTTCCCAGAAAAACAGGATGAGAAAGTTTCTTTCTTGTGAGCCATTTTGGAAACTAAGAAATAATTTTCACCCAGCTCTTTAAAAACCACTTGAAAGTGCAGAGATATCCTCCAGACTGAGAGTCTGGGGTCTCCTGACCTGCTGTTCTTTTTTCTTTCCTAGTGGGCTGAATTTGTCTTGTTCACTGTTCTCCTCTTTGCTGTGTGCATTATTTTCTCCATCATGGGATATTTCTATGTCAGTGTGGATCCAGAGGACCTAGAAGAAAAGGAAGAGAAGAGAGAGACCTCAAGCAGAGGAAACATGATTGGTCTTGTTACTCAGAAAACAAAGCTCTAACACATCATGGGTTGGGATTTTTTTTTTTAAAACTCAGTTATGAGAAGGTGAAAGAAGGGTGGGGACAGTGTTATTTTATTTTAGAGCACTGCAGTCTTTGTTACTCAAAATGTAACCACCTTATAAATGGGACCAAATGGCCCTCTATAAAAACAATGGGGGTCCTGAAATCAGAACAAAACTCCCTGGGAAAGCTCCTCAGGTATTAAAAGCCCTTATTAGTAATTACAGTGTAATTTAAAACCTGTCCATCTTTTTAAGCATGGAATGCTTTCCTATGATTTTGCCTTAAACATATATTTAAGGCAGCAGGGAGGAAGGGTGGAAGGAATGCCATATGACACAAAAATCTGGAAATGTTACGAGAGAAGAAAGAAGAAAAACTAGTATAGGAATTAGGGAAGAATAGATGTTAGTGACAGAAGGATTTTTAATGCTGTCATCAAGGACTGTAAGGGTTACACATAATCCCAAAGGATTTCATAATGTAACTCTCCTTATGAGTATTTCATCCCATTATTGCATGTTATGAATGGTTCTGATTTATGATTTTCACCTTCAGGCTCAGAAGTAATAACAGGGAATTAAATTCTGCAGGCTAAAATATTCCCAAAACACTGCTGACAAAGACAAGCATGCTACCACCTCTCCCATTTTTTCCCCTAGAAGTTTTTAGCAACTGATGGTGTTCTTTGATTAGACATGATTATAGAATTGCTTTATGCTTTCTTATTTCAGAATTCCAGACAGTTATTTGCCATCTTCCTATACATTAAGCCTTTATTGGGCATTTCCTTTTACAGCACCTGTCACTGCAAGTTAGGATATAGCTGATTTCTTATCTCATGCCTCAGTTATTCCCCACTGGGAGACAAGTTGCAGTAGTTTCTATAAAATTCCAGGCATCCTGCAGTGAGTTATTTACAAGGATGCACTTTATCATTTTTTCAGTCTACAAGAGGAGACCATGGCATATGAGATTTTTCTTTTTCCTTCTTGTTTTTCTGTCTCTACCAGACTTTGGATATAGCAATTTTATTGGAATTGTGATATAACTGTCTGATTTTCCTCAATTGCGTGAAGCTGTGATTTCATATTCTGCATAGGAGTAATCCAACCACTGCTGATCTAGTAAAACTCCTGAGAGAGTCCCTGCCTTCCTCTGTCACTTCAAGGCCACAGTTGTAACAGGTATGGCCTACTTCAAAACAAAGTTGTCAATAGGATCTTCAGGTTCACAGAGAATAGGTTTTAAATTATGCTTTCCTCTTCCATCTTGGCATTGGCCATAGGTGGTTGCTGATACTTGGATTCAGGAGATCACAAAATACATGTTTGATTTAATTCCTGTTCAGGACAGGAAATACACTTAGTTTGACACCACTTCCTTTGGCACCAGCTCCTTTGATGTGCTGCCAGTGTGTGTGTATCTTCTTGAGTAACACTAACAAAACACAGCTTTTTGGTTTTAACTCACAGCCTAAGGTTGCTCCCTCTGCTTTCTGTCCTAAGTGGGCATGGACTTTCACCACTAGTTCTGCAAAAGCTCCTACCTGATGTGAAGTAGTATCTGGGGTTGTGCCAGAGGGAGACCATGGTCTCATCAGATAAATGAGAAGAGGCTGCAGATGTGCACGCAGGAACACTTGGGGTGGTTCAGTCCATGCAGAGACATTTATTAAGCTGTGGTGGCTGGATCCAGGCAGCTGAACCCTGCAACTCCATGGAGAATGAAGGGCATTGAAAGCCACCAATTAGGTCATCCAGCCTGCTTCTCAGAAGCCAAGTGAGGATTATTCCCCTCTGTTCTTTCTGGTATTGTTCTCCTGCTGTGATTCTTTGTGTGGGCTCTTTCTCCTCCAAGCATTGTTGTTTTCCTAATCCCATTTTATGACACACAGTGAATCGGCTCAGAGGCTGCTGAATCACTCTGCTGTGATGCTGTTTGACCAGCTTCCAGTTTGAAGCACTAATAGAAAGCATTTCTTCCTCCACCCACTGCAAACAAAACAAAAATCCCCAAACTGAAGGAATGGCCAGGCTCCAGTAACACTGAACAAACACAATTTAGAATTATTGGAGCATTTAATTTTTTATAAGCCTTGTTGGGGTTTGAGGGCATATGTGGTGTAGAGACAAATTAAAATTATTGAAGCACTTTTCTTGGGAAGCATTGGTAAGCAGTTCAGAGTTGCATGAGGGAAAGCAAGGTATCCAGATCTCTAAGACTATATATGCTTGAGAATCTCCTGATTTTTTTTTTTGGTTTTATTTCCTTATTGGTGACACTACCAGAAGCTGTCACAGACTCTGAGCTGAATTTAAAGGAATCATTCCAAACTCATAAAAGATACATTTAGGATGTCATCTGTATCTGCTTTTTAGACTCCTGATGCCAAATTTCCCCTTTCCAAACATCTCCGTGTTCCAAACCATCACCATAATGCTGGGGGAAGGAAAAATTGCAATTCACAGTTGGGAAGACTATGAACAGAAAGGCAATGCTATAAATAAAGTGCTAACATGAGGCTGGGGGCTGCTCCTGCAGCCCTTCCCAGGAATTGCTTGGGGAACTGGAAGGCTCTGTTCACATTTCTCTCAGGGATGAACCGGTTACTTCTTCCTACCTGCTCATCATCACCTATTGGAAGGTTTTTCCTTCTCTGATCTGCGTGTTTGGTTGCTGGTATGATCCTTCCCCACTGCTTCAGCTGCTGTTGTAGCTTTGCTAAGTTGGACCCATTTATTTGGAATACACCAGCAGTTTGGAGGGATTTCCACTAGGATGCTCACAACCAGCCAGGAACGGGCTGGGGGCTCTAACAATGAGCTGCCCCTTCTGTAGCTGGAGCAGGTGGGAAAATAGCACATTCAGCATAGCACTTCTCCAGTTTTAGAGCCATAACTCCATCCTTGGAGGCCTTGCATCACTTTAAAATGGACTCAAGACTGGATCAAAGGTTTGGGACTTGATTCCATGGAGTAATGAGGTCTCTGGGTTTTTCCTCCATATCGTCACCTCAGAGATGCGGCCATGCTCAGCTCTTCCTACTCAGTTTTAGAAAAATATTCTTTATTTCTCACAATTCTTTGCTTTAGGATCACAGGGAGGATCCAAAGTAGTGATAGCATATGTAAAGCTGAATGAACCTCTGTAGAGAAATAGCAACCTGCTGCCTGTCCAGCTTCACCTGTCACTGAAGACCCTGAGCTGTTGGTAAAGCTTTCCCTGGCACAGATTAGGGAAAGCTCACTCCAGCTGACCTACAGGAATTATCCTCTCCAGCTGAGGGACAGGGAAGAGGTGGTGGGGAACTGTAGATGTGTTGCTGCACAAACCTTCATGGAGATTGCAGGGGTTTGGCTTTGCTCTCTAAGTGTGTGTGTTTATCTGTTTCTCTGAAAGGTGCTTTCTGAGGAAGATTTTTGTGCAGAAATTCATTTGCACTGGCTGTTGCCAATTTTCCCCTTAGCAGGTTGTAAGTGTGACCAGTGTTATTTCCAGTTTTGCATGAGATAAGCATAAAAATTAGATTTCAAACTCAGCAAAACAGCATCTTTGCTGTCAGTTCCTTAAATTTACCTTTTTCTGAGGCAGTCAAATGCCTTTAGGTAGCAAGTTCTCTGTGCAGCTCAAGGGGCTTGCCGCTCACTTTTCTTCCATCCTCCATTCACTGCAATCCCAGAATTCCAGAAGATGAGCCCCATGAGGGCTGCATGGGACTGCCTTGGATGCAGCTGGTGTGTGCTGTCACTGCTGACTGGGAAGCAGGAGCCTGGCCTGGTCAGGAGCTGGTTCCTCTCTGGATACCCAAATGGGGCCTGGCAAAGTAGACTGAGGCAGGGCTGGCCCTGGTGGAAGTTGTGGTTTACTGAGCAGTGACCTAGATGTGAGTTTTGTTGTGAAAGGGAAATGTAAGCGAGTTAAAGAAAAAGTTTTCACTTTACTTGGCTTTGGCCTGAGGCAAGGAAACTGCAGACTGATGGGCAGGGAGGAAACAAAGGGCTGTTTGGTCAAGGTCTTCCCAATTCCTCAATGAACAGCTGAAGTTGCATTGAATTACTTGCAGGGAATATGAGATGAGAGAAGAGAGAAGAGGAAAGCTCAGATGATTAAAAATTGGATGAATTCAGAAGAGCATTCTCCTAGCTGGTAATGAAGGGCCACTGGGGAGATGGTCACCCATGGTTTGAAAATGGGTTTGGTGTTCCAGAGTGCTGCAAAAGCCAGCATGAAGACCAGCACTGGTGTGTCTGCACTGAGCAGAGGAGGAGGTGGCTTTACCCCAGCAATGTCCTCACCACCTATGGGAGCCACCAGCTTGGCTTAACCATTGGAACAGAACAAACCGCTGAATGTTATTACAGACGTGATTAGCACAGGAGGGAGAGCTACAGCTGGGGGTGGTTAGCAAGTTTTAGCCAGGGTCATACACAGAAGGATAATCTCTTTTTTTCTCTGCATTGAATTTCTTTTCTGAGCTACAAGAACCACTTTCTAGAACAAGCTGCTTAAACTTGGGAGATCAGCACCATGGCAAATACCACAGCTGCTGATTTTTGGATGGTACCAGACTCTGCATTTCATTATCACTACATTTGTTATTGTGATACAATTTTAAAACAGCATTTAAGAGATGCGTCTGGTCCCAGATGTTGACAGATCTGGCCAGGGTTTTACATGTTGATAGCTGGATTCACTGGCTGTTGATAGCTATTCTTTCATGTTCATGTGTGTGACAAACTTCTCATGTACAAGTAGATGTGGGGCCTTTAGAATTCTCCAGCAATTTAGAAAAAAGCCCCGAAGTTCCACATGAAGCTGGCTAAACATGAACTGTGGCATTGCTTCCTTGAGCGAGCTTCCCATGTGCTTTGTAAAGCAGGGACCCTCATTCATCTCCTGCAAAGTGCTCCCCAGAGAGACAAAAATGGGGGACATAAACATTTTGCCTTGAGAAGGGCTCATGCTGCCTAATGGAAATTACATGAAAGGAAATAATTGCTTTGCTTAAAATCCTCCTTCCTCACCATCTCAGGTGGACAACAAGGAAGGAAACAGTTTCTTATTGAGCTTTGTATCCAGGAGCTGCTGCATCTTCTCAAAATCTTTCATGCTGTGTTTTGCCAGCAGATCAGCATTAACCTGGCCTTAGCACCTGTAGATCAGAAGACTGTCAGGATGCAGAGCAGCCACACAGCGGGCTCCCACAGTCTGCTGATCAGCTCTGATCTCTTCATTTTTAATGAATAGTTGTAGCAGTTATCCTGCAGGGCTCAGTCAGTCAGAATTGCTCTAAATTTAGGCCACAACTAAGGACCTGAGAGAACTGTAATCAACAAGATAAATAGCTAAAGTCTCAAAAACCTGCTAAAACACTGACTTAGTGCTTAATTAAAATTCTAATGTGCTCACAGAAAGTAAAAATGTAAACCCGAATTTAGCAATTCAGTCAGAGCAATGAGGAGCTGTGCTGGAATCCACCAGTGTGACAACTGGCAAACAAGATGAAGATACACAAATCAAGCAAACATCCCTCTTTAGATTATTTTTTGTCATTGCATACATTGTACAGTCTGCTTGGCCTGTCCTGTTATACCCATGTGTGTAAGGAATATACCCATGTGTGTAAGGAAAAGAAGCTGAACTGACTTGCCATGTACCCTTTCCAAGCTGCAGCTTGGTTCTCCTCTTGTTGCAGACTCCCAAGTTAGCTCCAAAGGACTCCCTTTGCTAGCAGTCAGCCCCCTCAGTCCCACATGCTGATCTTCCCTCCCCACAAGTCACTTCTCCCTGATGACTTTGCCAGTCCTCAGCACCTTGTTTATTCTTCCACTCATGCAGCCTCTTTGCTGGCAGCAAGAGCATGTTTGTTTGGGAGCTGTCCTGCACAATGCTGCCCACTTTCCTGCATCCAGGAAAGCTGCTGACCCGCAGGAGAGCTGTGTCTGGGCAGAGACACGCAGAGCCAAATGTCTGGGTGGTAACAGCATCTGCCCTGGCTGCTTTGCCTCTGGCTTTTTGTCACAGCTTTGTATGCCCTGACACATCTTCTGTAGGCAAATCAGAGCACAGGGGTTG